TAATTTGTCTGATTTGATTCGAAAAAATCAAACTGAACACAAAGAGCAGAAGTACCATATACTAGAATTATCATCATAAACAAGCATAGCATAGGCGCAAAATTGGACCTTAGGCTTCCCTCAAAATCACCCATATTTTTAATATATCATAAATTTGATATTTGCACAATTCTATATATATATATATATATATATATATATATATATATATATATATATATATATATATATATATATATATATATATATATATATATATATATATATATATTTGCGTCTGCGTGCAGTGTTTCTTTTGGTACGATTACAAATTTACAATAGGTCAATAACAAAATTAATGTTTTTCTATATTTATTACGGAGGATATTAATAAATGTATGCAGTATGCACTAGAAAAAGAAAAGTAATTAATATACACTCTCCCTTAAATAGTTCATAAATTAATATCCCATCCCGTTCTCAAAAATACTTTATTTTCCATTTTTTCTACTCCCAACAAAATATTTCTACATTCTATTAAAAAATCACTTTTACCGTTATTTTTTCATATCCTACTTATGACATCATACTTTTTATCAAATAATCTATCTATCATATTTTACTTTTATCAATTGCATCAAGAACAAAATTGGAAGTCAACTTCAATTTAACACTTCCTTATTTTTCATTTAATCAAAATTACAACTCTTTTTTAGAACGGAGGGAGTAGACATTTTTTTTAAAAATAAAAAAAATTAATAGGCATTTTTAGTAGTGTCATAGTTTATACTCCCCAAAAATTATTTTCTTTGTTTCCAAAAAAAACAATTACAATTATAGAGTCAACGTAAAATATTAAAATGTGAAATGAATTAAACTATTGTATGCGGGGTATTTCTCTTTGTAATTTTGTAATATTCCATGTGAAATTTGCACTAAATAGGACTAAAACATAATGACTTTCCTAATGTAGGACTTAAACTTTTTTATTCCCCAAATAGGATTTAATAATGACCTAGTGGAAGGAATAATGTCAAGTAATGATGGATATTTAGTTGAATAATGACCACTTGATAATGACCAAAGGTCCTACATTAGGAAATAAAAACATATGATCCTATATTAGGAAAGTCATTATGTTTTAGTCTTATTTAAGTAAATTTCTATATTCCATTATTATGTTTTCTTTTGAATCGATGGAGTAGTTTATAGTAACTTCTGCATTCTTAATGTTTTTTATTAATTATTATACTCCCTCCATCTTGAATTTGACGGCACTGTCATTATTACGATTTTTCGATAACTTTTATTTGTTTTTATATTTTCATTAATAATTTCATAAATTAAAATATTCTTGTTACCTCTTCTTTATAGAGTTTTTATGTACTTCCAAATAATATAATTTATACGGAGTAGTTTTTATTTCTATACTAATTTCTGTTAAAATATTTTTAAAAATGATGGATTCTCCATGTTGTTTAGAGTTTGGTATCCACTATGGGACGGCGGATGGAGTAAATGACGATTATAATATAATGTACGGATTGGAGAAGCTTATTTATATTTTATAAAATAATTTCTTTGAAATTACACTTGGTAAAATATTTTATAAAATAATTTTGTACAACACATTTTCATTAAACAAGATTACCTTAAACCAACGATATGGGGTGATTTACTCTTTTTTGCTTGTTTGATAATTAACAGAATAAAGTTTTGTTTACTGATGAAATTAACATTGTCACATACATTATTTTTATGATGCCTGTTAGAATTTCATACAGAGTAACAATTAGAATTATTGAATAATGAAGGTCTCATCCTTATTTATTATCAATACAAATAGAATCCCAATAAAATAATAATTATGATAAAATAATCATGAGCTGAGGTACAACAAAACTTGTAATTATTTTAATTTATAAATTAAAGTGCAGTATAGGAAGATTTTTTTAAATCAAAGACATTGCTTTCTTTCATTTATAAGATGGTGGGTGTTACAAAATGGAGAGCCTGCAGAGCCATGACAAAAGTTTGCCTATTTAATTTAAAAAACAATGCTCTATATATGCTACTGATGTTTTTCTTCCTCACGAGAGAAAGAAAAAAGGAGAAGAAAAAAAAACTTTGGTTCTATCACTTTTAAGAGAGTTCTTCGTTTTTATATGGGGAATTTATTTAAATAGCACTAAAACATAATGACTTCTTTTAAATAGGATCACATGTGTTTTTTCCCAATGTAGCATTTTTAGTCATTATGCATTAGTCATTATTCAAGTAAGTATTCGTCATCACTGGACATTATGGTTATTATTAAGTATTATTTAGATAATAAAACAATTTAAGTGGTTACGTTATTCAACGAAATGACTTAAATTTTAGTGCTATTGAGTGCAAATATTTCTTTTTCTATTCCGACCAAATTTTTTCGACGTTCCCCTTCAAGTATTTTAGTAGCTGCCAATGCTCCTCCGACGTTGTTCTCGTTCGTAGTTCTAAGGTTGTTCCTTACAAGTTACAACTACTTAGGACTTAATATAGAATAATTAATATATAGAATGACTTAATATAGAATAATATATCCAATAATTAATGTTGTGTATCAAATATAGAATAATGTATATATACATAGTAATTAATTAGTGGGCTAATGTGTATCTAAATAAGCACAAAGACAGGTGCGTGTAACAGGTACGTACGTACTAGCCTATATTATGTACACATACTCTGATATATTTATATATGAAATCAAGTCGATAGTAAGATCAGATCGAAAAATACGTCGTAGTAAACTAGAAAGCAAAAAAAAAAAAAAAAAAACATAAAAAATGAGTCTCAGGCCCAATGAACGCAGATGTATGGCTACACTATGTTGCTTTACGATGATACTTTTAGTATCTGGTGAGTAGAGTAGACATCTTTTATTATTACCGACTATATTATAGACATCGTACTGTATATATTATATTGATAATTAGGCCTAACAATTTTGTTGTTATTTTCAACTATGTATGTATGTATATTGAAAGGTGAAGTAGGAATGATGATGGTGAACGGGGAAGGAAATAACAATAAAGAAGTGTTATTAGGTCCGTTAGAGCCGTTTTGTTTGCCACAAACGAATCCGCCGTGTCGCACCGACGCGGAGTGCACTGTGAGTTGCAAGAAGGCCGGGAAATTAAGCGGCGATGATAGATGCGTTTCATTCTCGGGTCCCAATGGCCCCTTTCTTTGTTGCTGTGCAATTTTTTGATGTGAACTAAATAAGAGTAAAACATAATGACTTTCCGAATGTAGGACTTGAACTTTTTTATTCCCCAAATAGGACTTAATAATGACCTATTGGGAGGAATAATGTCCAGTAATGATGAACATTTACTTGAATAGTGACTACTTTATAATGACCAAAGGTCCTACATTAGGAAATAAAAACATTTGGTTCTATATTGGGAAAGTCATTATGTTTTAGTTATATTTAGGTAAATTTCTCTTTTTTTTTGAAATCGGATCCACAATTATGTCATGTCAATCCACATACATTTACAAATGTTCTTTTTATTTTTTAAATCACAGATTTTGATTTTATTGCACTCTTCTCATCATATATTATTAACATTTACTCCGTATTAAATTAAAATCATAAAGGGTGAGTGATATATTGATATCGGACTTAATTATCATGCATTTAGATACATACTTTCTCCGTCTCAGATTTATCTTTCTTCTTTATCATTTTAAAGTCACAATAACGTTACTTATTTGTGTGTTTCCATTAATTATTTGATAAAAGAAAATATTATTGCACCATTTGTTTTGTAAAACTTTTGATATAATTTTTAAATACTTAAGATTTAGTTTTTAGTTATATACCAATCGATCTTTAAATGAAATGAATTTACTTCGTTTTGCAAAAAGTAAAGATTATTATGGGATGGAGAGAGTAACTAATTATTAATCCCTTCGCTCGAGAAAGAACTTTTTAAGTGAAATTTTTCACTTTTTTTAAATAGAATTGTAAAAGGTAAAAGTTTCTTAAATTATATTCTCTTCATCCATATTTTGATTACAAAATGTAAATTATGATGTAAAACCGCACAATTTTTAAAATTATTTTATTTACAAATTTATACATCAATAAAAATTGCATATGAAGTATTAAAAAACTACGACCAAAGTTCAAAAAAACAAGATGTGATAAGAATATTTATTTTATCAAATAATCAATGAAAAGGCGTAAATAAACAAATTTTATCGAGAGGAAAGAAAAAATAAAATTGTAATAAAAAAGAGGATGGAATGAGTATTTAATGAAAGTGGTTGGAGACTTGAGTATTAGTGAGGTGTGTAATAAATAAAGAAAGTGAGAATAATTGGGGTATTTCAAATATGGATTAATTCCTTTGTTCAAAAATGTTCTTCTCATTTGACTTATTACGATCTCAAATTTTTGTGCTTTGACCATCAATATCTTTATTTGTACATAAATATATTTTATAATAATTTGATATTTGATATATACGTTTCAATAAGAATATATTGATGTTAAATTTATATTATAATACAATGTACTTTTTTCACATATCAGAGTCAAAGTTTGCAAATTTTGTTCAAGGAAAAACAAATTGGAAGACTATTTCCGGACAGAGGGATCCGGAGTACTAAAAAGATAATGATAAAAGGATCTTCCCCAAACCTTTGTATCTTTGATCACTAAAAAGTTTCAGGTCCTGTTTGAGAATAGCGTTAGATATTAGTGTTAGCATTTTGGATAAAATTTTAATGGTGCCCATTACTTTGAAAATGATAACGCTAAACGCAGCCTGTAGGTAGCCTTTTCAAAATGTTTATGCTAATCTCTAACATTATTCTCAATGCAAAAGGTCTTCAAGATTTGGTGATACTTGTGGTGGGACCTACTAAAGAGTTTTCTTTCCTAACTTTCAAAATTTTAATTGATTTCATTATATTAATATATAATACTCCCTCCGTCTCACAAAACTTTTCTAGTTTTGATTTTTACAGAATATAAAGAGAGTATTTTGTTGTTGAGTTTTTAAAAATGTTCTTGGATGTGATGGATAATAGCTATTTTTAATTTTACTCCAGAGTAAAACCCGGACCGGACCGAAACCGGAGGCAAATGTGATGGAGCTAGCATTTATCCGGTCTGAACCAGTAGAGTACTTAACTATTCAGAGGCAAATGTCTGATTAATTCAGATAAGATGTCTTAACCATTCAGACTCTGTATAATACTTAACCATTCAGAAGCAAATGTCTGAACCATTAAGAGGCTGAAACAAACAGTCTGAACCATTAAGTGCTGAACCATTCAGACATCTGAATCATTAAGAGGCTGAAACACCGGCTCCTAACTCATTATTCATTCCACGTTTGTTTTGTTAAGAGTCTTTGAACCACTCCCAGGGAGTCCCAGAGTCCCAGATAGGGGTGTTCATCGGGTCAAACTCAGAGCAGACCGGCCCGGACCGGGACTGAATAAGGGGCATTTGGTGGATCGAGGACCGGACCGATTAAGCTAAGGGCCGGCTTAGGACCGGACCGGTAAAACTCGGACCGGACCGAAACCGGACCGGATAAATGCTATTTTTAATTTTTTTGAAATTTGATTTTATTTATTTAATTTAAAGTATTCAATTGAATAAAAATATTACTACATCTAATTTTTAATTGTAACATACACTAAACATTGTCAAACACTTTTATTTTTAATTTTTTTAAAAAACTTTAAATAAAATATATATTTTTCATCCGTTTTACATAAAATTTGTTCGTAATTTTTATTTTACATAGGAAATATTCTTCTTCTTATTGCATTTTTATTTTTTTTGTAATACTCCGTATAATTTTTGAGTTTTCGATTAATTTTGGCAAATGGATACTTATTTTACTATTTTTATTCATGAGATTGTTTATAATGTTTATTTTTGAATTGAAAATATTGAAATATATTTAAAATTGGTATCTTATTTTGAATTGAAAACATATTTAAAAAATTATACTCCGTATTAAATAATAAAATCAAAACATTTAGTATTGTAGTTAAATTAATTTTAAGTATAAGAAAAAATTTTAAAAAATACAAAATTAAAAGACTATATAGGAATATTTTTAAAAAATATAATATAATCGGTCCATCAGTCCAGACCTAAACCCGGTGGACAGGACCAAAACTCGAATAAGGAAATAATGAGAACCGGAGACCGGACTGAATAAGGACCGGTCAGGTCCTGTTTTGGCCGGGTTTGGGCCTTGGGTAGGTCCGGGTCACCCATCACCTTCCCGGCCATCACCCTAGCTACCATCGACTTCACCGTCGCCGCCATCATCTTCACCATCGCCTTCACCTTCGCTGATCGAGGGTTCGCTGCTTCCAGCGACCTTCGTCTATCCCTGCTCCTCGGGATCTGCGCCACCTTCGAATCATACCGAGAGATAGGTACAGCGGCGCTGTAGAATACTATTTGCGCACAAAGAGCTCTCTCTATCTTATTGATAACCGTTGCTTCAGTCAGGCATGACAGCCACCAAAGATTTCTGGCCAATGAAGCCACTGAAAAAACTCAATTTCTGCATTTGCAAACCAAATTTTCATTTATTTCTTTGGGTGAGCATACTTAGTATTTACTCCGTATCTATTTACTGATTTTCTGATTGTATTTGATTCAGAAAGTCTTATTTGTTGTTAATCCTAACAGATTAAATGCTCTGTATGATTCTGAATTCATGGATGGTCAAATTGACATCAATTGTATAACAAGGTATGTATGTTCAACAACACTGGATATACATGCTCCATTAATCCCCATTAGGGTTACATAATAAGGAGTATATATTTGCAATAGAATATGTCAAAAAGGAAACTAAAATGAAAGCTAATCTTTCTGCCATGCTTTCTAATGCTGCATTATTGCTCGAGGCTCTTCTTGTGTTTGCTTCTTTAGCTGTACCTGAGAATTGAAATATAAAATCTCAAAACTTAAACTTAATCGTCAACTGATGAAAGGGCTGTTCGGATTTCGTTATTTATACAGACATTAGGACTTGAGGATGAGGAGAAATGTAAACTCACAGTTTGATGGTTTCCATCCCATAATTGACTCTTCGCGATCAAACACAAGGCGATAGCCAGCCATGAAATTCTCTGAGAAGAATCGATCATTGTTCAAGGAATTAGCATGCATGCATGAAATCAGAGGTAGTTCTTAATGCAAAGCTAAACATTCAAATTTTGAATAATAGAATTTCGTGACATATTTAAGTGCCATTAATGTTTTAATCAATTACTTACGCCCAATAAGGTTGATTCCCAAATCCTTGTTTCTAATAATGCCTAAACAATAAGCTTGCTCTTCCGTCTGAATCTGAATGTGTTACAAATATGTTAGTATTTTAAATAATAAAAAAACAGTTAGAGAAAATGTAAGAATCTAGCTTACCAGTGAAGACATTGCGAGAGTGGGAAATTTAACATGATAACCTGCTCCTCCTCTCATTTTTAGGGTCAAAGAAGGAGCCCAATTTGTAGTATGATTTCTGCGACAAAGAAGTAAAATAAATGAATTGCCCAATTTTTACAAAGTCTTAATGTATAGTTAGCTAGATGACATCCCGTTTCTCCACTTCCATTCAACTCACCTTTTTATACTATAACAATATTCAAAAGCATCTTTAGGGCTATGACCAATGCATGGTCCTTTAACATGAGAGTTAAACTGCAAAGATATTAAAAGCGCATTAGTACTCGCATTTTAATAGAAACATATACATCTCTTTAATTAAAAGTGAAGTGGCCAACTCACATTTTCTGTTATAATGGCGTATGCCTCTTCATTTAGGTATGTAAGAGAGGTACCAGAATCAACCGTAGCTATGAAGTCAACATTGGTTACAACATTTTCAATAGCTATTTGCTGTATCCGAATGTTATAACCATTGCTGTATAGAGTGAAAAAAGAAAACGTCATTACAGTTTAATAACACTTCTGATTTTCTTTGATTGGCTTAGCAAACAGACGTTATTGATAAAATTACACTCACTTGTCCTGTATAATTTCCATTGGTGTTTTCATCTGGTCTGTGTCACCCTTATCTCCAAATGCTATCCTGCCACTTCCATTATGGGCAAAGCATAAAGAGAACGCATTGGGCACCAACCCTTGAGACGCTAAAATGCCTGGCACATCCAACGGTTGAGTGTATGCTAGGCCAAGGCCAAGCAAGCCATTGATTGTACCGCCTTGCAAATTAGTGCCCGTTTCAACGGTTCCGCACCTAATTAAGATGCAAGAAAATTAGAGATTAATTGGTCACATCATTCATTTGCATTTGTACATTTGAAAGATTAGACATTTCTATTTATATTCAGAACTGATGCACACCCGAATATAATTGGGGCATCAATGGGTTGACGTTCATTGTCATATGATTCGAAGTGCCACACATCTTTAACTAAATATCCCTTAGTTGAAGTGTCAACCGTTAGATAGTTAACTTCATAGGGGCATGCCGTGTGAGCTTCAAGCATGCATTGCATCTTGGGCCAACATTGTGGACTGTCACAAGAAATATTTGCACTTGTGGATGATGACCCAGGTCTGTAAGAATTGAGATTTCTTATCTGTTCCAAGGGTAAAGTGACAAATGTCGTCAATAGTCCCATTTCCCACAAAAAAGAATTTTAATGCAACTAATTAGAAATATAATTAGAGATAGACTTTTAATATGGTTAAGAAACATAATTAGAAATAGAATTTTTACTTGGCCTGAATCTGCCTCAAAGGAGTGTGCGCAGTCCACACAACCACATGGTAACCAGGATATGACACTTCCGGTGTCAAGTGCGACCATAAATGATACTGGAGGAGTCCCTACACGTATTTCGGCATAATGCAACCTAAAAAGGATGTGAAAACAGAGTTATTATACATGGTTGTGGGCTTGTGGCATAGTGAAATAGATTACTGCTACCATACATTGAACTTTTGTTTTTCTTTGTTTCCTTGATAGTTATCTCATTGTTCGAATAACAAACTCTGCTTTTTTTTTTGTAGATGTGTTTGAAAATGTGGATAGATGGGTGATTTGTTCCAAGGTGTGTGTGGTGTCCACATTACTCTACTAATACAAGCTGTTTTGAAAGAACATAGTGATGGTAAGCAGCTAAGAGCTGAGTTCAATTTCATCAAAATATGAATGTCAAATACTAGGTATGTAGTAAATATTGAAACACTAAGATAGTAGGCACAAGCATAATTCATGTAATATTTTAAGATATTAGTTCTGAATATAAAGCAAACATTTTTTTCTTAGCCACATACTTACATTCCCAAATGATATATTTGTGTGTTGACATCCCCTCCCGCAAATGTCATCGCAGGTAAATTGTGCTTTGTATGGAGCTGGCGGCGGTGGTGTTGGTCACGAGCTCTCAAGGCGGAGTAGTACTCCACAGTGCCTTGTTTAGGCAACCCTTTGTTACCCAGTACAGCAGTGACCTCATCAGAGTGCCGATGAAACATAGTAAACTCAGACATGATAGAAATAGATTGTGATGTCACTACAAGTAGTGATATCAAAGAAAAAACACTCCATAGTATTGCAGTAGCCATATGTTGTAGCTAGGAAGAAGCTAAGAGAAGGGCAGAGTTAAGAAACAAGCTAAGAAGAATTACTGTCAAGAAAGAGGAAGTTTAGTAAAATACTAATATTATTAGAGATAGCCAGCAATTATGAAAATGAGCTTAGTGATTTTGCATAAGCATCTCTTATATATATTATTGGACCCCTTCACTTACACTTTTATTTTGTAATTTGGGTCGACCAAACACGCCTGTAATTGCCCATTATACACGTGCAAATTGTCATTAATAGAAACTAAATTTAAAAAGGAAATAAGGAATTCATCTACTACATTTAGTAAACAAATTTTGGGCAAATATAAAAACTAACCACCCCTTATTGAAAAAGATACTAGTATTAGGCTCGAGCTATATTCATAGACATTTTTTCCGAGTTTATTTCAATTTTAATATTTTTGGTATTGGAAGAAAATGACAGGAGTTCCCAACTCCCATATATTTATTTCAATTTTAATATTTTTGCAATGTAACAAGGCAGGAAAGATGCTTTCTCATGTGTGGCTAAATGGATGTTTTGGTTGCTTTTTGTTCTTTTAGCAATTTTACCAAATTTGTTCATGCAACCTTTTTAAATGGATGATCCATGTATGGGTCATTACAAGTAAAATATAATGCACAACTAGCTAGTACTCCGTATAAGACAATCAAATCCATCGATATAGCAAGTTACTCCCCATACCCAAGAATTTTCTTCCACATTTGCCCTTGATTTTTTAAAAAAAGAATAGCGTAGACGAATAACGAAGATATGATAGAAATATCGAATGAGGTTTAAATAAATTTGTTCGCCTTTTTTATGTCTCAACTAAGTCCTTCAAAAATAATTTTTTCAATTTTTTTTAAAAATATTATTGACTCTATTACAATGTAATATTTTTCATATAGTTGAATCGGAGTGAGCTTTTTCATAAATATTGGAGCGTCAGCTTCTTGCCACTTAAGCCAAAGAAGAAACTCTTTTTTCTTATACAGATCTTCTATTTGCAAAAATAACTTTACTCTTTCAAATTTAAATCTTAAGAGTATATATTTTACATAATATAACTTCATCAGTGTTTTATTTTTCTAGTCATTTTCTATATTGCATCACGTGTGTGAAAATATATGTTTAATTTATTTCATTTCTAAAGTTATTTACTTAAAAAATATTATTAATATTTTTAAAGTTATACTCCTCCCATCCCAAAATTATCATCTCTTTTCTGTGATAAATAAAATGAATTTCTATTTTGTCCACTTTAATTGATTGAAATACACGTATGTTATTGACAAGAAATTATAATGAGTATTTATTTATTTTTTAGTGTTATTGACTGTGTTACAATGTATTATCTCTTAACAGTGGAGAAGTTTCATTAATTCATTAGTATTTATATACTTCTAATATTAATCAAACAAATTAAAGGGCAATGTATTCTTGACCTTGTGCGATGGGCCGAGTGCGACTCCCCACAGCCCGAGTCCATTCCAACACTGAGAAATCAACTACTCTGTAATAAACTTTAAAAAATGCTATCCAAAATGGCTCCGGCCACTCCATCTCCATGGGTTTAAACAAGCCTAATAGGTGTTTATATTTGTCTTCGAATATACTCCGGAGTATTTGTTAACATATCGAATCGAATACATATACATTCGTATCTGTATTTGTTTTCTTTCAAATTCTAATAAATATTTATATTCTTATTCGTATTCATTTTTCGAATACGAATGAATAATTGATTTTGAATACGAATCATGAATCAAATCAAAATTATTCGTTCGTTTCACGATCCTATCTCAAAAGCTCTTACACACACAAAGTGCAATAATACAATTCATGACTTTGTGGCCAACACTTTTTGAACCTAAAAAAAAGTTATAGGACACCAAAATTGACTTTGTGGACACTATGTTGACCCCGTGTATCAGAGAGACATACAGACAATAGTCCTCTATGTTCACACACATACAAATCATTATTATTTGTGTATATGTGTGATACATGAGGTCAAAATGATGCGAGCTTTTTGGTGTTTAAGTGCCCCCTCCCAACACACACACTCTTAATATCTGATTAAATCTTAATTTACTTCATGAGGAGTCCTCATGGATAAAATTCATCCTTTTATCCCTAATAAGTCTTCAGGGCTCTCCATAAAAGAATATACTCCCTCCGTCCTAAAATTAATTTCTCAGTTTGACTTTTGAAGTCAAACTTTTTAAACTTTGACCGTAGATTAAGGAAGAAATACATTGAATTTTTATATAAATTTATTAGGAATAGATTCATTTTGGAATATAGTTTTGAAATATATAATTTTTATAAAATATATTTATGTAAAAATTGAGATATTGATGGTCAAAGTGTCGTATTGGAGACCGTGAAAAGTCAAATGGGAAGTTAATTTTAGGACGGAGGGAGTACTTCGTAATTGACGTTAATAAAAGAACGATGAATCTCATCCCAACACTCTAGGGCTGATTCGAAAAAATAGTACCCCGTTGTAAGAAGTTAAATTGAGCTTTATTTTTATGTCGATCAAAATGAAACCTTCATCTCCTAAGATTCTATCAGATTCGACTCAACGATTAGCAAGAGAAGGTAAACTACAGCCAATAACCAGACCCCAAGCTATGGAAATGTGGGATAGTAAAAAGAGTCAAGTCCCCCTAAAGAATCCAAACACTACCTACCTTACTTCTCCTATCATAAAGTTTTGAAAGCAAAAGGCCATTGCTATCCAACACAACACACTGTGCAATAGAGTGGATTTCTTGTGAAATCACCTTTTAAAAAGTCACATGAATGAATCTATCTCACCCTTTATCATACACATGGGATTCCTTTCCTTCCTAAAATGAAACCAATAAATAAATAAATGAGCAAAAGTCAATGAATCCCCTTGAGCTTTCATCACTAGCTAGCTTTTTCAATGATCACAATAATATGAGTGGGAAAAATAATTCAAAACTATGAACAAGAGGAATACAACTCATATGATCATGCTTTTTTTGACCAAGGGCATTTTCGGAAACAGTCTCTCTATGTTTTCCCCCCGACTTACGGGGACCCCACCGCGTTGTTCGTCGACGTCATTGTTTCTTCTAAGATCTTCTCTACAAGATGGTACATTGCTATACTAGAGTCTATGCTCCAGATGTGATGGCCTCACCTGGGGATTCTCCTAGACTTGAAAGGGAAACTTGAAGGTGGTGATGGGGAGAACTCAAACGGCAACGGCGGCGGATTCGATTCGCCGCAAAGCATCCCCACAATCTCTCTCATGGTCGGACGTTTGTTCGGCGAGCGCTGCAAGCAGAGCAGTGCGATCGTTATGCAGAGCAACGCTTGTTCTCGATCCAACGACTCCACATTGGGGTCCACAAGATCCAAGAGCTTCCCGCTCTGAGCGAGGTGCCGGGCCCACGACACGAGGTTCGCCCTCTCGAAGTCCGCCATCGGAGAAGCGGTCACTTGGAGCGGCCTCCTCCCCGAGACTAGGACGAGTAGTAGCACGCCGAAGCTATACACGTCGCACTTCCGGGAGAGGGTCCCGCCGCCGCCCCCGTACTCGGGCGCGATGTAACACACCGTACCCCTCATGCTTGGGGTGCTCGTCACGCCCCCGCTCTTGGGGGCAAATCCGTCATTCGTCACGTCTTGGCTACTCCTCCTTCCACCACCAACACCAAACTCTCCACTTAGATTGTCTATCCACCAATCAATGCTCCCCTTGCTCTTCCTCTTCTTCTTCCTCCCCTCCTCCTCCTCCTCCTCCCCCCTTTGCCACCACGTCTCTCCCCCGTGGGACGCGCCCCGTTTCTTCTTCTTCTTCTTCGTTAGTTCCTCGCAAAACTCCTCCTTCCACCACTCCCGCGGCTTCCGGCTCTTTCTTGGCTTATTGGGCTTCACATTGTGGTGCTTCTTCTTCTTCTTCTTCTTCTTCTTCTTCTTCTTCTGATCATCATCATCATCATCCTCTGGTTGATAGATCCCTTTCGAATCTTTCTTGGGTCTCTCTTTCTTGATTTCGCTACCGATCCACTCCATCACGTAGTCCTTCACTCTCCCCGATTCGGAACCCCCATTGGGGTTTTCTTGCTTCCACCACCAATCTCTCCTCAATGAACTACCCACACTAACCCCTTCCGATTCGGACAATGGGGGCTCCTCTGCGTCATCCAAAATCTTGATGCAACAACTCTCTGGGGATTGGGTCACATCCTCCTCCAAAATTGCGGTCACGTTCCCTTCAAGAATCGACCCGTTCTGTTCGTCCGGGTTCGCAAACCCTAGATTTTCATCCCCACCTTCGTTGTCTAGGCTCATGGATTGGGACAATCCGAAATCGGCGATTTTGGCATCGAAATTGTGATCCAGCAGCACATTTGAGGGCTTGATGTCGCCGTGAACGATTGGGGGATCGCAGGAGTGGTGAAGGTACTCAATGCCCTTAGCTATGGATACCAAAATTGAAAATCTCTTCTGCCATGGCATCAGCTCGGGACACTTCCTGTCCATTAGAGCGTCCTGTAAGCTCCCATTTTGCATAAATTCGTACACCAGAATGAGCCTCTTCTTCCCGATCTTCGCGTCGGAGGAGAAGCCGAGAATGGAGACGATGTGGGGGCAGCAGGCCGGGTCGATCCGGGAAGCCAGGGAGAGTTCGTTCTGGAACTCTCTCTCGCCCTGTAGGGATCCCGAAGCTTCCATGATTTTCACGGCGATCTCCTGGCCGGAGGGGAGGAGGCCTTTATAAACGGACCCGAAACCGCCCTGGCCGAGGCGGTTGGAGGCGGAGAAGGAGTCAGTGGCGCGGCGGAGGAGGGAGTAAGAGAACTGATGCGGCGGGGGAGGCAGGGGAGACTTCAGATCTGCGGGCACCGTTCTCTTGCGGGACAATTTCCGGTACGCGAAGGCGAAGAGGAAGAAGAAGGCTAATGCCAAGGCGGCAGCTGCGGCGGGCGGTGCGATGGTGGAGTGAAGGTGGTGGCGCCGGTGGTGGGTGGAAGGCGGCGGTGTGGCGGCGGGGAAGTAGGCAAGTGGAGGAGGCGGAAACCGGAAATCCGGCGGCATTGTAGTGGACTGCGAGCGAGAGAGAGCGACGGAGACAATGTTTGGGTATCAGATGAATTAAAGAAACATTTTATTTTAGCAGAGAAGAGATTTGTTTGGAAGAAGAAGAAGAAGAAGAAGAAGAAGAAGAGGAGGTAGTGTGGAGCTAGTGGAGACTTTTCTATTACCCAAAAGGGTTTATGACTTTATACTCCATTTTTCCAATTTTTTTCTCAGAAAAAAAAAAAATCCATTCTATTGAAATGTCATTTTCAATGTTGGAGTGTAAATATTTACTTTATCAATGTTCAAAAAAAACTTTTATCTTTTAATTTTTCTTGGTCAAATAGTGATAGTCTTTTAACATAAATTGTAAGAGGAATATATTTAATTTAAATATATATTTAGTATAATTGGGTTTATCTTATGATATAGTTTTGATATATCAACATTTTTTATCATTTTTTTATTTAAATTATGTTTAATTTATTGTTAGAGAGTGTCATTATTTAATAAAAAAAGTTCAACATGAAAGATTTTAATGTCTGAAAAGAGTAAAATTTACGCTTTTTCTTTTTTTTTAACTATCAAAATTCTAAAGAAAGTCGCATTGTTATGAAAGCGTCTTGGTGTAGTGGTAAAAGAGTCAAAATGGATTTTTTTTTTTTTTTGGGAAGTAGTGGTAAAATTCTAAAGAAAGTTAGGCAAAATGGATTAATTTTCTTTTTTTTTTGGGAAGCAGGAAAGTAAAGTACAGTGTATGACGCACACTAAAGCGTTGAATTATTTTGGCTTTAAAAAAAGCGTTGAATTATTAGAAGTAGTTTAGTGAGAAGTTAGTCTTCCCCGTTGAATTACTTTCCTTACCATAATGACGTAATTATTATACAATTGATCCTCAAACATGAAGAATCCAATGCAAGACGTCTCCCACCCATTTTTCCACCAATAATGTTAAGTGTACCCTATTTTTCACTCAATTTCAAACCTCACCTTCATAACCTTATTATCTGTGGGTAAGAAAAATATGGTCAAAACTAAAAAGTGATGTCAAAATAAGGATTTTCTAGACTTAACTTTTTCTACTGTATTAATATATATATTGATGAGTACAATGCAATAAAATTAATGTATTTCGTAATTAATTATTACTTCCGTTGCAATTTTTTTTGTTTTGAACAACGTACAAAATCATATCTACTTTAAAGTGATAATCATGTAATCTCTTGGGATAAAAAAAGAGGCTGGCTTACGAGAAATATGGGAAGTAAACAAAAAAAATTGAAAAACAAAGGATTAGTTTAAGTTGAGATGATGGATGACCCATAATGTCTCTCCTATTTATCATCAAGCGAATCTAATACATACATGTAGGCGTGGACAAGAAAATATTTTGATCCCGTCCCTAGCTATAATGTTTCGTTCTGTTTGGGATGATAAAATTTTGTCTCGAATCTATTTCGAACCGTTTTAAAATATGATAGGACCGAGACACCTAACTAGTTTACCCTTTCCGTCCTGTTTATACGTAAATATCTACTCCCTCCGTTTGCAAAAAGACTTCGCATTTTGATTTGGGACAAAAATAAGAAAGTGTTAAATTATAGTTGATTTCCAATTTTGCTCCTGATGTGATGGGTAAAAGTAAGATGTGATGGATAGATTATTAGAGAAAAAGTATGATGTGATAGGTAGGGTATGAAAAATTAAGGGTAAAAGTGATTTTTTAATAGAAAGGGGAGGTGTTTTGTTGGAAGTGAAAAAAATTAAAGAGAAAGTGTTTTTGAGAACGGATGAAGTATTTATTTATTGATTTATATAATAATATAATATTCCTTCCGTCCCCAATTTGACAAAAAAATCACCTATTTTACAGGGACAAAAAATATATTTAACCTATTTGATAAAGGAAGTAATCAATAATGAATACCATGAATAGGACGGCCATATGGATCCATGCAATAACCTTCACCTAATTGTACTACAAATTGAAAAATAGTTAAATAATTTATTAATGCACTCTCGTGATCACAGCTAATAAGGAGTGACTTTTAAATATCAATTAATCACATCAATAATTAATTATCAAAGGGATGGACTTAATTAATTAATTTACTGGAAAACATGGACGAGACGCGGTCCCAAACACACACTAACACAAATGCAAGACAACTTGTAGTGTTTAAGGCATATGTTTGTACCCTTTTGTTTGCTTACAAAATTCAATCTCCACCTTTTAAACTTAAAAAAAATGTCCTACTCCCTCCCTCAATTAAAACACTTGTTTTTTTTTATTTTCTTCTTCAATAAAAATGCACTCACTTTATATTAAAAAATTATTTTTGTAGGTGGACGTTGTGCAGTTAGCAGACGTATGGAGTACCAAGAAGCTAAACTCGAATTTGATTCCTAACAACTGTACAGAAAGCAACTATACTAAACTTAAATCTCCTGCAAGTATTAGGTACAACCTCTATTCTCTGCTACAATTTTTGTTTTTGTTTCGATCTGTATGCTCCGTACATTTTTTTTGACACTTTTCATCATTAACAATTGTTTTTGTCATATTATCATAAAGGAAGTTTTATTCTTCAAAAAATACTTGCTTTGTCCTAAAATAAATTTCTCACTTTTCTTTAATTTTTTGATTGTCCCAAACTAAAGTTTTCATTTTTCCTAAGAAATAAAATGATTGGTCCGCAATATTTAAGGAGACCCTAACACTGGTGCTCTAAGGAGACCCTAAGAATTGAATGGCTAGTCCAAGCTAGAAAAAGTGTGTGAGTGGAAAACAGTTAGTATGAGATACGGTGACACTATTTTATTTTTTTTACTCCATTACTCCCTTCGTTTTTTAAAATACTTCTTCTTTCATTTTTTTCACTTCCAACAAAACACTTCCACTTTCTATTAAAAAACTACTTTTACCCTTACTTTTTCATACCCTACCTATCACATCATACTTTATCTCTAATAATCTATCCATCACATCTTACTTTTACCTATCACATCAAGGGCAAAATTGGAAGTCAACTACAATTTAATACTTCCTTATTTTTACACAAAGTCAAAATAGAAACACTTTTTCCAAACGGAGGGAGTAGTTTCTAAAAGATTGCACATTTTTGACTTTTTAAATCAAATTGTAATCCTTTGATAATGAATTAAATATAATTTTAAAAAAATTTAATATTATAAAATTTGATATTACAAAATTATATTTTAAAATAAATCTAATTTTACTAAATTTACTCCGTATATTATAACTAAATACAACATATCTTTTTCATAATTCACTATTAAAGAGTGCCACAGTTTGTTAAAAAAAAATCAAACTGTGACAATCTTTTAAGGACGAGGAGAGTATTATTTACATGTTTAATTTCTACCCAAAATTACAGTAAAGTTTGACATAGAACAAGAAAACAATAATGTCTCTTTCTCCCTACCATGCTGGCGCTGCCAATATATTCTCGATGTCGACACAACGAAATACATACAAATATAATACTCCTTCCTACCGTCAGAGTGTGTATGTCTAATTTAGCTTGTTATAGTTAAACTAAATGAAATCAAATAAATAATACGTTGTAAATTAACAAAATTAAATACTTTTTCAAAAATAGTTTAACAAATACTCCGTAAATCTTTTGAAATCATTTTTGTTCTAACGCATAATATTGTTTTTACTTTATTGATGATAAAAAATTCAACCTTTTAACTCTAAAATGTTACTCCGTAAAATAAATAAACACACTCACATACAAGTAGTACTCTGAATAATAGCGTGGCACTGTTATATGCACGTTTTTATATACTCCACCCTTAAAATAAGGATCCATTTGGTACACAAAATTGATAGAACTATATTTGAATTAAGAGCACAAATTCTATAAAATTGATTTGGATGAAATTAAATTCTCCAATTCCAATTCATTTTTAACACTACGAGTTCTAAATCTACATATTTTTATGCTACCAAATAGCAGAACTAGATATGTTGTCCCCAGTTTTAATTTCATAATTTGAGTTTCGGTATCACACGGAACTTCTCTCCACACTTAATTAGAGGAAATTTGGGTCATATGCTAAGATGATAAGGAAATAGCAATCCAGCAAAGGAAATGGCCATTTAACAAATCCAAACTACAATCATTAATGGGCATCACGTTTTATTTTTGTCACAGTAAACTAAATTACTGAAACAGCAAACTTGACTTGTGATGTTAATTTACACCTTCCTCAAAGCATTTGCAATATGGCATAAATTTTGGAATTTCTAGTAAAAGACATTTCATAAAATGTCACTTCGGACGCTATTCCACCTAACTTTGTGTTAACTCTTTTAAGTGATTAATGTATGTGTTCTTGTTTTCAAAAAAAAAAAATCATAAATGTGTGGAGGGTATACTTTTAAAGTAATCCCTTCACCTTAGTTTCTTTGCTAAGTTCGATCTTTTTTTAATCAAATTAAACAAACTTTAATCACCAGTAAAATAAAATTTACATTACATGTCAATACATTGAAATGATTCTTTAGATCTTATTTGCACAATAAATCTAATAATGTGTACACGATGATCTAAATTTGTTTGATTTGATATAGAAAATGTCAAGCTAATCAAATAGATTGAGACAAGTAGTAGGGAGAATATAAAAAGTTCTTTAAGAAAGGGGAGATGATTATTTTATTATAACACCTGATTAAAGAAAAGAAACAAAAAAAACTAATTTAACCAAGGGAACAATAAAAAGATACTAAAATTTATTTAGGGTCATGAGTATTTGATAACCTAAATCACACCTTGCTGCACTTAATCTTGCAGTCATATCAACCAAATTATATCTATAAGAAGCTCAATCCATATACCTCACATTGTCAAAATTACTCCAATTTCCGATCTCTATGTTTCAGTTATAATTAAGGCGAAAAGAACAAACCCTTGGTTCATTTACAACTGGTCTACTTGTTTATGCTATATGTAATTTGCAAACTCATTTAAAAATTACTCAATATGTAATATGCAATTTGGTGAAGAATTACGCATTATGCACTTCTCCAAACCTTCTTTTTTGGATCAAATCTACAATTGCCTAAACAAAATTTGAAGAAATATACACACACGTGCACAACTTGAAGAAGACATTATATATCAAGCTTTTGGGCAATAAATTTTTCAGCTTGATGCACTCAAAAAAAACTTCTAAACAGAGCCTGCACATTGCTAATATGCTATAGCTAGGGATTTTTATATACCGAACCGGTTACCAAACTGGTCGAACCGCCCGGTTCAATCGGTGCATGAAATAATACCTCATAATCACGTACCATGTCAGCCATACCCCAACCGGATCATATCGCAAGTTCCACAATGATGTCATTTCTATGCACACAACTTGAGATCAAATCCTTCCACACCAGGCATATACATGGCTGATCTTGTTCTTCTAAGATATGATGTCATGAATGCCGAAATGCTATTATTTTTTTTCAATAATTGCCTGATTTAAGGGAAGGGTTTCAATGTCGTGGGAAGCTCATTTGACAAGTGGACTGAGCCCATCACCTTCCCACCCCAGCTTAAGCATGTGATCCACAACCTTTAAGCTCAACTATATAAAACAATATTAGATGTTATAATTGATGTAAATTCAGACAAAAATTGCAAGAAAAAAAACTCTAAAATCAAGAAACTCTAATTAATGGATAGTTAGGACCTCCGACTTCAATATTTTACTAAGGATATGATAGGACTGTTTGGAGATCTAGGATTATAATATTGAGCAAACTTTTGGGCCTTCGTTGTAGTTTATGATAGTTTATGATGGTGTGTTTTTTATCTTAACCTGTATCGTGTGCCTGTGTGCTTTCTGTGCTTTAAATCTTGTTGCTAGTGTTGGCATGTGTGCATCTTGTGCATGTGCTCTTGCTCTGGTCATGCTAATATGCTTTTATTTCTCTATTATTGTGCTTGAGCTAGGGGTCATTTGGAAACAATCTTTCTACTGTGAAGTAGGGGTAGTGTTTGAAGACACAACCTCTTCACACCCTACTTCCGTGGGATTTTGTTGGGTTTGATGTTGTTCTGCATGTCTGCATTTTAGTCACATATTCTGTTTCTTAGCCTTAGACCTTTGTAAGATTGCTCGAGAAAAAAGTCCAAGGGTCTTGTTTGGATGGAGGATTATGGAATGGAAGACACCGTCATAATAATTAATACACCGTAAGCATGTTCTTAAAACAAATAGAGCATAATTGAAACGTTGCATGATAGCATATGATATTAATCATTTAATTCTCATAAAAGCTCAAATCTATAGCTGACTGGTTGTAAACACTTCAACCGCGCTGAATCGAACTTGATGCCCTTTGAATTTGAACATGAACTTGGGGTTTTCACTCTCTTTTAAAACAGTCATGCAAGTACAAGGAAAGTGGAGTAGTTTAATGGTTTCAACTTACAGCAGGATCCGTGAAGATTAGCAACTGCTTATCAGCAGTGGATACAAGAAGATTTGTGTTATCTTTGTTCAGTGTCAAAGCTGTAATATTTTGACCCTCACCAAGTTTCACAGTGTGAAAGACCTGAAAGTAAATTTTTTAATGTTTTTAGTGCAAACACAAATGAAAGTGCGCCATACACAAAGAATATGTTTCACATTAAAAACTAATTAAGGTGGAACATAGAGTCCATTGTAGGCTACATAATACTCCCTCTATCCCGGAGGCACATTTCATCAATGTACATCTTTTAAATTTTGGTACGGTACCAACATTGCAAGTTATCAACCATACTTACTACGGAGTATATTTTTTAAAAAAGATTTTAAAATTTGTGTTTGTTCAAATAGGATTTAACATAGCTCATTAAAAAAACACACATACACACACACTCTCTCCCGATATATATAAACAAAATTCAATGAAACTAACTTCATTTGATGAAATATGAATCTTTTTTGGAGAGAAATAAGTTCTGAAACTAGATTTTTGGGGGCAGAGGCAGTTATCGATTCAAACCTTGCAAGTGGCGAAGATAATAGAATTCTGTACATCAGACAATCAGACAATGTAACGGAAGAAGACAAACCTTTAGACTATATATATCTAGAAAGCAAATCGAAGGTAGGGAGATATCAAGTCTATGTTCATCATCATTGCTATCACCATGATCCTCAGTCCCTCCTCTTGTAGACTTCAAATTCCTGTTACTGTCAGAGAACTTGTCATAATCCAAAGATGGGTTCAACCCAATTATAGCCTTTTGTCCATCGGCAGAAACATCCATGCAACCAACATCTGAGGAGACGGGGAAATACGTCCTAGCGATAAGAATTCCATTAAGAGTGAAGGTGCTAAGAGTCTTAAAATCTTTGTTCCACGCAATTATTACTCCATCAGACGATAGACAAACAATATGAGCTTCCACACCAACTAGCTTCCTAATTAGTCTCCCCCTTCTGATTGAATGCAACAAGACGTCTGATGAGTTGGAACACGAAATAGCAATTCCAAGATCGGAATTGGCATAACAACATGATATTTCTCCTAGGTGGCCCCTTAGCACATGAATGGGACCCTCAATCCGATGCCTCCTCTCCATATAGTTTCTTACTGTCATATTGCCAGTTGGTGTGCTAGAGGAAGTGGAGGAGTCTGATGATACATTAGATGTGTGGGAAGCTGAAACATTATGTATTCTCCATAGTAGAACTACCGAATCACGAGAGCCCGTAACAAGATAGTTGCTATCAGGAGAAGTGGCCAGGCATGTCACTGGAGCACAGTGTCCTCTAGCTATTTCCAAAGTTTTTGCTGTATCTGCTGATATCAGTCTGATACTGTTATCAACATGCCCACCTGGACATAAGCACATATTGTACAAGTTATATATAGTTAGAAAAAGTGACGAAGCATGATAACAAAAGAAAAAATTAGCTAACTTATGGCCAGTAAGAAACCCATTGATCTAGAATTTGCAGTGTCGTGACTGAGAATAACATAACTTTATGGTACAAAAGCAGGTCATCAAAGATATATGGGGCATTTGGACATTGTTCTTGGTGACTATGCTGTAAAATAAGAGAATAAGTAATTAACCACAACAATTAAACTGTTTATCCCAAACAATTTATCTATCATGCACAGTGCTCTTAAAGACCTAACACCTTAATGTTACTTTTATGCCCTCTATCTATGTGACTGGCATTTATTGGTATGTTGTGACTCATTTATAGATTTCCCGTATTCAAACACCCCACTATTCCATATTGAAGTAATTACCTCTAGAATATCACTGTGTTAAACACAACAAAGTGGATTCTTCCATGCCTTGTCTTCAACAAATTCCAACATCCCAGTCACCATATTGAAGCACTTACCTTTCTCGTTGATCTCCTTGTTGCAAATTCTAAGTTTTCTAATCTAACCACACATCCGTCTTAGTGTTCCCGCTTCTACTAATTTCAAGACTCATCAACTACATTATATCTTTTAAAATAACAAAAATAAGTCCCTAAACTGGTCTGCCTAGAGATGACACGTGCTCTACCTAAAATAGGAAGGCCATGGCATATTATATCAGTGAAACGCAGAAGAGATTATTTTGCATGATGATATATTAACATGTAGCCATGTAGGCATCAAAAGTCAAGACTAGTTCAGTATCCATTAGGCACCTGTCTATGTTGGTCGAATGGACTAAACCTACTAATTTAAATTAACTCTTCAAGATGCAATAGTTGAGAAAAATTCTTACCCGTGATAATTTCCTTATCACTGATTATGGATACTATTGCTGAGCTTTTGATTCCAGAAGCTGGAAATGTGATCGATTGTGGAAAATGCCACTCTTCTGACCCAGAGCCACTAGGCCCCTTAAACATGCGCATCAATGTTCCACCAGCAGAACCGACAATAGGTTTTCCGTGTTGAAAGAGAAAAGGGGTGCCTTGGCCATCAGGTGTATTCGACTGCCATTTATGTTGTGCTATGTGTGCAGCTGGAGCACATGAATCAACAATTACAAGAGAATCTGAAGATGCATACATTGCAGCAGCAGGTAGGTTGCAGTGCTCAGGGTAAGGAACAGTATACGGCTTAACATCAGTGGGGTTCCGGAAGATAGTCTGCAAATACAAGCCCACTTAGACTTGTCAAATATTCCGTAATGAAGTTGTGAATAGGAGAACACCCCCTACCAAAGTGTGAACTTGCTTGTTTATTATGGGTGCACTTTTTAAAATGTGTGTATCAAACTACTTTAAGAATATACTATGAAAAAATTGAAACAAGTATATGCAACAACAACTAATCAGACAAACACATTTTAAAGTAGTTTCTTTATATTGAATATATCTGTACTAATTTGTATGTGTGTCTTTTATTTTGGTTCTTTCTTTCTTGAGATCAAGGAAAAGATCAGGGGTGCTGGTTGCCTGGTTTTATGAGCAACCAATCCTAGACTCAACCTACCCGGCCTCTTTGCTCTCATGTATATCTTGGAAATTGAATCTGTGTCCTAGGCTTATATTGATCATAGCGAGGGAACCAAGTCCGCTTACCCCCACCAAAGAATATAAATCTAGCCTTACAAACCACCAACGCCTTTCAAGCATACTTTGCCCTATCCTGAAATTGCTCCAAGTCAAGCATAAAAAACTTTGGAGTTGCTTATAAAATGTGCTCCCGAAAAGAATGGTGGGCATGTGGTGGTATGTGTAGCTATCTAATCCTTTAAGCCAACGAACCCACGGTAATTCAACTGTAACTTGACACCTCTTCGAGCAATGCCTCATCTATGCCTTCGCTATGAGACTATTGATGCTCTGCACTACTCAACACAAGCCATTTCCAAGAGACATCTGGCTCAAAACACAGGATCAATAGGCTCATTGAAAAGAAATAAAAAATTTCCCCTTTACTTCATTTCTATTTAGGGGAAATGGACACCGAAGTAAAGGCATCGTAGAAAGACCCTATCGATGCCACAAAACAAAAAAATGGAGTTTATACTCCCTCTGTCTCCAAATTAACTTTGCACTTCCTTTTTTGGACGTCTAAAAATTAACTTTACACTTCTCCACTTTCAATTTTAGGAACAAATACGCGGACATCATTGTTTCTCTCTTCCAAATAAAAAACAACCACCCACTTTTCAACAATTTTTTAATATCAGTCAAGTCAAAGTGTCAAGTTTATTTGGAAATGGAGTAATATATAAAGCATGTGGCTATATGGTACTCCCATCATTCCATAAAACCCTTCCCCTTTCGTTTTATCCAATTCCCTTAAACACTTCCACTTTCTATTTAAAAACCACTTTTACCCCTACTTTTTCATACCCTACCTATCACATCATACTTTTTCACTAAAACCAAACTATCGCATCTTACTTTTACCCATCACATCAGGGGCAAAATTGGAAAGTCAACCAAAATTATACTTACCTTATTTTGGCCCAAAGTCAAAATGGGAAGGGTTTAAAGAAACGGAGGGAGTTTAATATAACTTATCGTTTGCATAATTGCATGAATAGCAAAGTTGACTCCTTAATGGTGTTCAATGATTAGGCCTAAATAAATAAATGTATCATGTTGGTCAACAAAACCTTCTAATGGATATTGCATTGACCCATATATGATGGTAAGAGAAAATCATCATTGGAAAGTAAAATGAAGTTACCTGTAGGTGAAGAACATCTTTTAGCGGCATCCTTTTAATGTGAGGAACCGTTAGCAACTGTGATGGTGTTTGTCCAAAATAAGCAATCTGATCTTGTGTAGCCCGTTGTTGGACCTTTTGATAAGATTTAAAAAATGAAATTTGATGCAATATTAATCAAGAAGTAAAAATAAATTGATATGTTTCATATTTTACAGAAGAATGGGAGCTCACTTGATCTGAGATTTTGTCAATGTCCACAGTCCCTTCATAAGTAATATAAAAGAAAACATTATTGGCCAATATAGCTTCTTTTCCTCGTTGTTTATACCTGAATAATTTAAAGAACTGAGATTGAAAATTCTGGACATGGGATACATTTTGAATTTAGCCTTAGTCAATTTATGTGAATATAGTAAATATCAATAAGAAGATCACACAACAGCTATTCTTGAATATGAAGGTAAAAAGGATCCCAAGTGGAGACGCTACCCAAAAATTAGATCGATCCACTCATGCAAATGTGCTGAGACATGCTCACTCTCAAGTGCCATCCGATGCTTATGAATGAAATCAACAGGATTTTCAGCCCAAGGCGGAAGCCGAACAGAGCCTGAAACAGTGAATCAAGGACAGTTAGACAAACAAATCAGTCTATTAGTTTAATGGGGGAGTTTTGTTGGCATTCGGTATGGAAAACTTGAACAGCTTACCAATCTTTTCTCCTAATTGTGTTGTGCCAAAATCAATAGAGTTCGCATTGGTGAGTGACTCCGGAAGATAAAACAGCTCTGGAACCTAAGGCACAGAGTTGAGAAAAATAGATGCCATGGTGTACAATGGATTCAGTGGAAATAATAAATGACCAACAACAACCCAATTGGATCCCACAAGAAACCCAATAAATAAATGGCCATCATGACTTGTAAAGAATGTCAAAGCTGCCCTTTAAGTCTAATTGTAAGAAAGCAAAACCAGTATTTATCTTTTAGCAGAAATACAGATTATATACCAACTCTTTCACATCACTCATTTCCTCAAGAACTCCTTTCCAGGTAGCAGCAATATCTGAAAACATTCTGTCCGCGTGATCAAATTTTCCACCTTGTAGCTGAATTGATAAAGTAGTAAAGGGTTCCAATCTAACGAGATAATACATAACCTGTTATTTTATCATTCACCATATCAAAAAATCAGTACATTAATCTCATATTGTAAGTGTCTACCATCAAATATGAAGTGGTGCCAAACATACAGAAAAGGGAAAACGAAATTAAGGGTTACAGTTGCACGCATTAGAACTTAGAAATGGTAAGTGACGTACTGCAGTAAAACCATAAAATAGATCAATCAGTCGGTAAGCTAAAATGCCTCCTAGAGTAAGCTAAAGGCTGCTCTAAGGAGGCTGTGGCGGCTTCTTTGCCCGTAATAGTAGGTAGCCATACACACCCAAAAGTATTTATTAATGACTACTCCGTACTAACTAATCATATGCTGTCTTCATCCCTAAAAGGAGTCTCATTAATCAACTTTGTTTTGTCCCATAAAAAGAGTCCTATTTCTCAACTTGTAAAACAATATAGGTATATTTAGTGCTTTTTAAGAATTGCACCTTAAATTAAAAAAAATGTTCGCTCATCAAAGTACTCTTTTTATGGGGAGGAATGAGTGACACCTAATTGACATATCTTAAAAAGTGTAATTCTCTTTCTACTTGTAGCTTAAAAAATAGTTTCAGTTCATAAATATCACAGTTGTAGAACAGAGCTGTGAAGTTCATCTCAAGCACCACTGCACATGGAAACATATAGTACAACAAAAATAACATATATCTCAAGAAACTACAGCAAGCGTTGACATGAGCCATGAAAGGAATACAATGAAAAAGAATTATTGCATGAACACAACTTGCCGCTATAATAGTGCATGTATTGGATCCATATAGTAAAGAGGATGCACAAACTTACTGTTCCAGCGGTGGAATAGTGTGAACCATAGTGGAATTTCGGTATGACTGGATCATCAAAACTAGAGTACCTTTCCTTAAACTTCTCCAGTCTGTCAGCATTTAGCGCGCCAACAGGCTGCAAATTGCAAAAAACTTTACATGTGATCTAAAAGACAAGAGTTTGCAATAATTTTTAAAAGACCTCAAAATCATTCCACCTTTGAGAGGTCACGGTAACAAGAAGGATTGTCAAGATCCAAGCTGCTTGAACTGTAATCAGATATAATCCAAGGGAAAACAGGATACTGCAGAACAATAAAGAATCTGAGCGGGACTGCAAAGTGAGTTGAGTTAAAACATATTTAGTTACCATACCTGTGTAATGTCATTATAACTACGCCCTGACAGTGTGTTTAGTTGCATTAGATATTCAAAGTTGCTAATCTGTATGGAACAACCGAGAAACCTTTAGAACTTTATTGATTCAATGGAACATTATATTGTATTAGGAAATACCCAAGACAAAATCATCCCAAACTACTTGAAAAGATGAAATATTTTCTTACCTCCCACCTAGCCCAACGTTCCATGAGTTGAGTTCTTTTCAAAAGTTGTTCAGGTCTCTGTACCAGAGGAAAAACCAAAGAGAGAATTATTAGGTAACCAGTAATTTCTGATGGGTGTTAAGTGTCTACGTACAGATAGTCAGAACTAGGGCAGTGCACTATTTGGTTCCTTGACAGCTAAACTACTCCATTAGATATCTAATAGGATTAACATACTAGAGTCCACTAAATGTGTAATACTAGTTGGAAAAGTAATTCATGCAAAAATGTGTAAAATTTCTTCTTGATCGTTGTAAAGTGACAAAAGAATGATGACATTTCAGAATAGGCAAGCCAAGTTGGGGATAGAACCTGAGTTGCCAGGTAAATGTTGTTCAAATGAGGAGGGCGAGTTTGTACAATTGCTCGATATGCATTTCTTCTTGCCTCAGCACTCTGGACCATAAATAACAAGATTTAATCGAATGCACAAATCATTGAAGGGGCGCAACAATGAAACTCATGTGTACAGATGAATGTAATACCCCAAGATCAAAGAAGAAATTTGATCGGTCCACCATAAATAATTCCAATGCACTTCTCCTCAACAAATACCTGCAGGAAAAACACAGTATTACATGCATCAAAAGCTTTAAGCTGCTAAAAAGCTATTGCAATCATAAAATGATATAAATATTTCTTGGATCTTACATAGAGTAGGAACATATGATCCTAACATCAGCAGTTGCATAATGTGAAATTTGAGCTACATGGGCAGGTAACAGACTCAAATCTCAATGTGATGGACTGACGCTTCAGTTGTCAAGATATTAAGGTAGACATTTAAAATAACACCAAGTGTTAGACTGTTGTATAAGAACCATGGACACAGATATTATTTGTTGGTTACACATCCAAATGAACCAAGTTCCTTTGTATGCAAGTTCACTATGTGGATATTGTGTTTTTCTTTTTTGTGGTGAACTTCTGAATAAGTAGGTACCATGAAGTTGTTACATCATCCATTGCATGTGCATCACATGAAGATTGAACAACATCACTTGGAATATAAACTAATTTGGTTGATCCGTTGATATTAAGTTTTTGCAAGCTGAACACTATTTGGTTCAAGGAATATTAAAGGAAAAGAAAAGAAAATGGTTTTCTCTAATTTTTCTTGCCATAATGGAAGGAATTTTGTTTTCTGCCTTCTTAGTACATTTTGCTTTCTCATTTTCTTTTCCTTCAACTTTTATTTTCTATTCTTCTCTAACCAAACAAGAAAAATTATTTTCCATCTCATTTTCTTTTCTTTTCTTTTCCCTTTCAAATTCCCTGAACCAAACATAGTTTAAACCAATGAAGCTCATTGGCGACAATCTAGAAGCATTACACATTGCATCAAACCTAGACCTAGTAAAAGACAAAAACACATTGAAGTTGATTGTCATTGAATGAGAGATAAGGTAGCTTCTAGGGAGACTACCACCACATGTGTTTATTCAAATGACCAATTAGCAGACATGTTCAATAAATCTATTAGGGGAATCAATAGTAATTTGCATGCTCAAACTTGAGGGGTGTTGAAATATGTAATGGCTTTTGTTAGCCAACCTCAGGCAAACTTTAGTTGTAATTGTTATTGCTATTGTTACCTGTTACTCTACCTTTAGCATATTGACAAAGAGTAGGTCTGCAAATAACTGTCTGAAATTGCTCTCAAGTCTTGTATTATATATGCATGAGATGTTTGTAATTGTAGCCATGAACATATAATTCTAGATTCAAATCCATCCTACATTCAAAATGTAATTTAACAAATATACTTTAATCTCACCTTCTGCTATATATGTGATGAAGGGAAGAGATTGGCCAGCTTCGATCCTTTTCTTGGACCCTGTTTTCCAGTGCGCAGTCATGCCCATTGACAGCATCACTGTTCTCAGCATTATTATCAATAATAAAATTGATTCTTCTTGTAGTTATCTGAAAAACATAAATTAATCTATGTTACCAGAAATAGGCAACATATTTGTAGCCCTTATTAGGAACAAGTAATGTGACACTAAATTTTGTAAAAAAACTCAAACTCATTTGTTCAAATACGGAGTACATAATGTATTGCATTTCTACTACTATTAAAGCTGCTTATCTGAATATAGGCCTAATAAGAAAATAGTACTCCGTATATTGTAATGATGAGAGACGTATCTAGGGAAACAGAACTGGTGACTGAATCAATGAAAATATAATACACTATGTTATTGCTTAAAATCTTTAAAGTGTACATACTTGAAGCATTCCTCTCAAAACCTTCAATGGCCTGACCATTGATGATGGAAGCTCAAGGACAATTCTTCCATCATCTTCACTAGGAACATACCCCACAGCAACTGCGGTAGGGCTATGTACTGTCAGTGGGTCTGGATCTGCTGCAAGCAGTATATTCTCAGATTCTTTAGATGTCTGCAGAGACTGGTCAGCAGTTCCAGATGGTCTCTTCTTAGTATCTCCATGGTGTTGAGTGTCATCTACTATACACTCTGGATTTGAGGTCTCCTGCTCGTCATCCTCAAGCACATCCTCCATCGAGATAGCTTCTGCCACTAAAAGGGAAGCTTTAGAAGGAGTGATAGCATTAACTTTCCCTAACCTAGGATCCTGATCATCAAAATCTGCCGCAGCTCCATAATGATCCGAGCCTCGGTAGTTTCTTCTTAAGAATCTTCTCATTCTTGAAGAGGTTTCCATATTATCCAGCTTCCAGTAAACCTAAAACACAAAGCAATGATTGAGTTCCCATAACACGAGGGCTCTTTGGCAATTGGAAATAGTATGCTGGCAACATACATGTTGAGTGCTGTATAGATGAAGACCAGATGGAGCAAACAGGCAATTGGTCTCTATCAAGCTGTGGACAAGCTTTCGCCATTCACATTTTCCACGGTACAAGCGATGTTGTGCTATTACATCAACTTGTCTGCGCCTCTCAACCTGAAAACATCGAAACTCAAGTAAACTATGAGTCACAAATTGCTGCAATGATATTGTACAAAGACATATGATAAAAAGGATACTTCGGATCGTTGCATATTTCTTGCTAAAGCTAAACTTCCAACAAGGACGGCAATGAATTTGTAGGATAAGGCATTAAAGTCTTTCCCATAGACTGATTTTGTATCCCCTTCCTGCAAGCATTCCATCCAGGCAACTCCCATAGCTTCTGAAACATTCCATCTCTTTACACGCTCCATGTCACTCTGACTTCGTCGCTGTGCAGAGGTAGCCATCGCCACTGCAGTGAGACCTCTTCCTGACCCAATCTTTGCATTGCGCTCAAGATCTCGTGCAACAGCAAGCGCTGCTGCTTTTGCTGCAGCCTTGTCCCTCGGAACAGACACAGATTTATTAGGAGCTTCCAAAGAATTTTGGAAGCTCGAGAAGGTATGCAGTTTGGCTGGTTTTCTCTCAAGTAAAGAGGAATCGCGTCTCAGTTGTGGAGTTGTTGTGGGGGGAGTAATTTCACCTCCACCAGCACCAGCAGCCATCATTGCCAAAGCCAAAGCAGCAGGTGGTGATGCGAAAGCAGCAGCCCAGCTCGGGGACACCATTGCAAGAGCAGCCTGGATAGAAAGAAAAATTTCCGTGGAAGAAAAAAAATGAATTTTATTTACAGAAGCAAAATAAAAAACTGAATGGCTTCTACAGGCTGAACTGCAGAAGCATGAATGATTACAAAGCAGTCTCATCACAGAAAGCGTGTTAATAAACACCAAGTTTAGAAAAAACATTAATTTTGCTTGAAAAAAGCACCGGAAGTAAGAAATAGAACTCTCGACACTGATTTTCATAAAAGCACAAAAATCAAAGACATCGACGCAACTATAAGATACCAAAGTTCTTGGCTTTGCAGAAAACTTTTCTTATATTTGAAAAGGAGAATATTCACATAGTTTAAGGATAGGTTTCCATGTGACAAAAAAATTAAGTATGTGAAAATTAACACCCTATAGAGTTAATTCACCACCACCAACTAAAAATCCAATATAATCCCAAATTTGTCAGTCTAGGGTCAAAATGTATGCAACCTTCACCCTATAAAAGCAAAGACACAGTTTCCTTTAGATCCTTGAAGCATTGCTACATTTGCTTCCCAAAACTTCATTGAAAGTAAGGAGCAAGGGTGCTTAATGTTCCATTTTGATTTAGTCTATTATTTACTCAATGTTAAAACATTATCAAAATCACTCTTTTAACTACATTGGCAATGGGCGCTATTATAAAGTTGGTTTATCAACCTCAATTGGCAAGGCATCTGCAGCCAGTGCACGATCATCAACAGCAAGAGGATTCAGACCATCTGATGTAGCAAGTTCATGAATTCTAGCCAGAAGGGGTCTCCATCTCCTTAAAATGGCAACAAATGGAGGCAAAATAGCCTCAAGATATTGTTTTCGTAGAGGAACTCGGTCTCTAGCAACAGCATGCCACACCTGCAATTTACATGAAACACAGGGTAACAAGTTGAGTAACAGCAACAATAACTGCCTGATGCAATGTTTAGAGTTTAGTCCTTGATAACAGTATACAGAATAATACAAGATGCAATATAAATGTGCAGACAATAGTTTGCAACAAAAATCTAGATTTCATGCTGCTACTATAAATTAATGTGAAAAAAAATCACCTCAGAGTACAGAATACAAGACGCAACCAACACTCTCTGCCTCTTGGACTCAGAAACTGGCATATTCAGAACAGGAGAAAGAACACTGCGAATTATTAACTTCATATTAATTGACTACAAACTCGGAAATAGGAACATTGAATACTTGAATTGAAAAAAAGGCAATTAAAGAAACTGGTCAAAATAAACCAATTCATATCAATACAGATATCAAGTGTTAGTGTGCCTAGGGCCTACAAAAGCAAAAAATGCCCGGGCAACACTTCTTTGCCTTGTACAAATTCTGTTGATGATTGTGAACACAAAACAAAATTAAGAACACAATCAATCTACTAGTTATGCTCTCCGCCCTGGTTTAGTTGTCTCATTTGACTTTTTCTAGTCAAGTTGAATGAACTTTGATCACCACTTAAATAAAAACTGAATTGCATATTAATAAAATAAAAGATTTTTTTGAAAGTTTTTTTGCAAGATAAATCTAATGGAATCATTCTTTAATCTTTATTACTCCATAATATGCATTGCGGTTTGAATGAAAAAATTGATGAATACACTGGGATGGAGGTAGTATTAGATGATAGTGGTCCAAGGCGTTCACTTATAAGCTTATGCAGAATAAGCACCTACTTATCCTTTTTAAGCCAATTACAAGAATAAAAGAAAAGCAAATGTACTACTCCATCCGTCCCTAAATAAACTTCACACTTTGTCATCCTTCTGAAAATAATCTCCCACTACCTTGAGTGTGGCTCAAAACAATTCTCTTTCGTCTAAACAAATTCCAACTGCACACTTTTAAATCATGTCCTTGAAATATGTGCCCGGTCAAAAGAGAGTAAATGGGGACAGAAAGAGTAGCTACTATGTTTCTCCGTATCAAGGATTGCAAATTAAAACAGATCAGTAACCAGCACATGGAAAATTCTGTTTACATGTTTGATTTATGTCCTAGTAACATACAGAAAATGATCAAAATAAAATTATATATGCATTATTTTGAAGGGCTATCTGATGAGAGACAAAAAGAGCTTTGATTTTGTGAAACTATTTCATGGTACCTAGCATTATAGAGAAGACATATGCCCAACTTCCATTATGGAACAGAAGGAATAATTAATAAGGTCAACTGTAAATGCTATTGAATATATCATGTACCTCCACAACAATGAAGATCGCGGTTTTTTTGATGAAATACATGTACTGCTGTCTAGCATTGCCATATTGATAGTCTGTCCACCTACTGCCTCTGATGAAGATTCTGAACCCATGCCACTCCTAGGCATATTATCACTACCATCATCTTCTTCCCTCAATGAAACAAGTACCATTCGCAACATACATAAAAATGGTTGATCACTGTCTAACATGTGGTATAATGCTGTCATGCCTCCCATTCCAGTACCTGATCCTCCTCCAATACCAAGACCACCACCTATTCTGGACTCATTTAATAACAGAGTTTCAAGCATCACAACAGACTTTTTAATTAATTGGAGTTCAACCCAAGATCCATTTGAGTCCTTTTCCAATGCAGAATTCCAAGCATCCCAACCACTGCCACCTCCACCAAAGTGTGGGGCATTTGAGGGTAAACCCACTCCATACCATAAGCGACTCCTGTATTTCCATCCCTCGGCCAAATCTACAGCACAACTTCCATATGATACAAATGCACAAGAAACTGATTGATAAGGTTCAGAAGCAGCTGCTGCAGTAAGTCTTTCCATCATGGATGCAGAAATTTGGCCATTTGCATCAGCCATTGAAGCAAGAACCTGTTAGGACCATGAAAAACCTATCAGATGTTGACTACAACAAATTGGACAAATATTGAAAACACGTGCAGCAAATAAATTTTGAAGGCAAAAGATGATTCCTCTACAGAATAAGGCATCTAAGCACTACTATCATAGTTTGCATCTGATTCAAAATAAAAAAATCAAACATAAACTTGTAGGTGTACAATGGAAGTGCTCAAGAGAAAGAAACGGAGTGCATAAAGCTCATTGATACAGTATAAGTCCATACCCATGCTGGAAAAAATTCATGATGATGCTGGAAAAAATTCACAATGATGCTGGAAAAAACGTTGACTTGTAAGACAATTGTGGGACCAATGGGCTCAATTAGGACCCTTTGTAAGTTAGTAATCAATTAATCATAATGGGGTTCAATCTGTAGCATGATTGATAGCAGGTGAGATTAACTACCAAGGAGTAGGCCTGGGTTCAAATTTCACTATACCATCCCCCAAAAAGGTACTGGGGAGAGGAAGGCTATGGAAATCATTGCAAATAATAGGAAGGGGATGAAAGCTGAATGATAATCACAATATGAATGAGTAGTGCTTGGATCACACAAAACATTGGGTACATACATCAATTGAGAGCCCACCGATGTCACTACCCGATGCTCTTGTAGATTGATCACCAACAGGCATAACAATTGAAAGGGGAGAAACAGAAACAGCAGGAAAACGTGAAGCACTGTAAATTTTGCTTTGCAGCCTTAAATGATCTTCAACAAGCATCAAAATCACAATTGCATTCTCAACCAAGATAACTGAAAGTTGAGCAGCATTTTCAGCTCCTATTTTTGCACCCCTGGGTGACAGCCCTTCTGCCGCTACACCAGCAGCTGCTGTAGCAATTGCTTGACTCTGCCCAAAAATAAAAATCATTGTAATAGCTGCAAGTTAAGAGCTTATAAATCAAAATATGTCCCGATGAAGTTTTGAAACATCAACTTAGTTTGAACTTAGATAAAAATCAATGTTTCAGTAGTGTTAAATATTACTCGTAATTGATGAGGTGATTTACTGAATGACGCTGAAAAGCCAATTAAGGCATCAGAGAATTCAAAAGAAAACAATGTGATACAATACTGCTGGTTACAAATTTGTAGACGCCATTGTCATGTGTTTTTCAGGTCCAAACATACCGCTGGACCCTAATGTTGAGAACTTTTTAAATTTGAATTCAAATTTAAGATGATTAATGTTGTTGAAATTGCTTCATTAAGCATCCTTCGCTTGTTACTTTTAAAAAAAAGTTTTGGGTAGTAAAGACTAAAGGCATCAAGGATCTAACGGAAACAATCTCTCTATGTACCTCTTGAGTCTTGACCTCTAAAGAGTTGGGATTATGCTGGGTTTTGTTATTGTTGTAAATCAGAATTAAACTTTGCTGCTTACTTTCTATGAAGTTTTGGGTGGTGAATGCAGTAATGCATCAAGGGGCTTACAGAAACATCTTCTCTGTTTTAACATGGCTAAGGTTGTTTGGATCTTGACCCCCCCCCCTCCCACCCCCACCCCATACCCACACCCAAAGACCACAATGGTGTTCAAATAGTTCTTGAAATAATATCATCATCGTAATCACCATCATAACAATTTTTTTTATTTCAAACCTACCTCAGATTACTGGAACTTCAACAATTATAGCTGAGCAAGTCAAAACGCTCTGGAATTACCTGAACCTGCAATTCCCTCGCAGCAAAATCCAGCAAGCCACCCAGCAGCCTTCTTTTGAAAATCGGTAATGATTCTTCTCGCCTACGGAAAATGGGAAAATTAAATAAAAGAAAGGAAACAATGTTTGCAAAAACTTTGCTACAGAGAACCATATAATACGATCTACTACTATAACTTAGTTGACGAGGATATGTTACTCAATTCGAAAAACAACAATCAGATCAGTTGAAATATACAACAATCACAGTATATTCTACTGCTCTGTACAAGTGTGTGATTGGCAGTATATTTGAGGGGGGGGGGAGGGGGGGAGTAAATTGACTGAGGGATAGAAAAGCATGTCAGAGACTTAGAGCCATCCCTCTCATCTTCATTTAAACCTTCTAATTGTCTTCTGCTCCGACATAGGTTATATTAAAAAATTACAAAAAAAAAAAACTTCTATTGAGCTTGTATTTAAAGATACAAGCAAATACAAGTTTATAAAAACAAAAGGAGCAGAGGAATCATTTTCAACCTTCAAAGTAACGCAGGCAAAACATATGTACATAACACTATAATAAAGGGCTACTAAAGCAAATGAACTACATTAGAAATGAAATGAAACAGAGCATTCTAACTCAGCTTAAGAAGTACAGAGTACCATGTACCTGATTCTTTGATCACCAGTGCTAGAACTGCCCACCATAGAAAGCCATTCAGCACAATGAACTGTAGCTTCAATATCCTGCCAAAAAACATTTTGCAACTATATATGTGAAACAGTAAATTATTTACTTTTGAACATACGAAACAAAGAGAGAGTGTGTAGCCATGTGGGTATTAATTTCAGCCCGCTACAGCGCTACCAACACCAGGAACAACAGCAAACCCAGTATAATCCCAACTCTACCCTTGATGCATTGAAGCATATACTACCCCAAACTTCATGCTCCGTAGAATGTAAGAAGTAATGGAGGTTTAATGTGTCCACTCAAACAGTGAGTGAGTGGATGCATTTTCTCAAAGAAAACTTTATGACACTTTTGAAATTATTTCCAAGTGGTCATTGACATCTTTTCAACCCATAAAGAGAAAGCTCAAAAAGGAACCGAGATTTCAAACAAAAGTACCTGCCATCCATCCTTCTGGCGCATTGAGTGCTCTAAGTTGATTATCAAAAAATTGTGTATGGCATCATCTACATCCCTCAAGCTAGATGAATCAGCACTTCTACCTGCCCCGGTCTGTAATTATAGAGGAACAGTAAAGCCAAATTAAATGATTTAAAAGCCTAGTATACTAGATCCACGGGAGTGTGAAGAGGGACTAGCTTTGCCAAGACACACTAAAAGATCATATAAACGCTTTTAACAGCCTATTCACAGAGAAGGCAAGATAATATTCCCTCCGTCCACACAAAAAATCCCCACTTGACTTCACGAAATTTTCGGAAAAGTGTTGAAAAGTAAAAACGTGTGAGGTTAGAATTTGTTTAGATCAGAACTATTCTGAACCACGTATTCTTTTACTTAGACAGAAATAAGAAAAGTGAGAAATTTATTTTGGGGCAGACAAAAAAAGTAGGAATCCTTTGTAGCATGGAGGGAGTAGAACACTAAAACTCATTTTGAAAGGAATGCATTATCCCTGACCTCATAGTTTGATATAAAAATCTCCAAAATCCATTCAGGCCATTCCCCCATCTTAATCAGTGTGTTTCTATTTTCAGGATGACTGCAAGCCAAAATCAAAAGATCCTGAAATCAAATAGACTAAAACGGATAAGAAAAAGAAAACGATGTTGAAAAGAAAACAATAGAAATAGCTATAGTAGTAAACATAATGGCAAGTTGCAACCAAAAACTAAACATTTTTCAGCCTGAGGAGTTGTAGTAGCGCTTGAAATTCACTACAAGTAAAAGGGAAGAATTATATCCACACAACTTGGTACCTGCAGTGCTCGGCATTGCAATGCCTTTGCGGCATATGGAAGTGAGCGTAAGAGAACCAACAAAAGTTGTACATGCTCAAAGCGATGTCCAGAGTCATAAAAGTTTGATCCCTCATCAGTTGATGAAGCATTCATCTGTAACATGAATCATTACTTAAATGATAGTAATTGATTAAATATAAGAAACTCTCGCCTTAGAATACAAACAACCTCATAAACAGACCTACTCCTAGAAAAATGCAAGATGATCTCAATAGTGAATACCACCCATTAAGCAGTAGAAACAAGCCAGAAACGTATTTTTGGTTTTCGTGAAAAGGAAACAAAATGATGGTCAATTTATGGTGCCAGAACTGAAAAGCCTAATACGTTGTATTTTTTAAGGCATTTCCCAATTGTATCTTAAAAACATTAATGCACTATCTAGTAAGAAACTGAGAGCAAGACTCATATATTCAGAGATTATAAGAGCTGCAAGTCTTTAACAAAGCTGTTGGAAATTTCTCTAAAGCAAGCATGCACAGAGAATGCAGCATCACTTCAACCTCAAGCACCTAAAGAGCAAGATACAAACACACAGATGCATTCTGCAGGAAGGCAGATGTCTCATTGATAACAACCTTCAATTCAGAGTCTGTATACAATATTCACATACACTGAACAGCAATCATGGTTTAATTTGCACTGAGCAAGGGCATAACTGGAAAAGAAGTATGATGCAAAGAAACAGACAGTGCATACCGAGGCACCCAATAAAGCTCTGTATACTCTTCCGCTCAGAAGCCTGTTTGGTGCTGCTTGGAAAGTTTTTTGTAAAGCAAAAAGTAAAAGAGAAACCTTATCGTCAAACATAGTGCCGCCTCCCTCGAACAAACCTGGTGAGTTATTTGTTACATCTGTATGCTCATGCATACCAAATTTAAGATATCCTGACGACACTAAAGTGCCTAAGAGGTTGATAATCCCTAAAACGATACCATCTCTTCTATCAATGTTGTAAACATTATTCCGTGCATTTTCTGCACTTATTGAATAACTTATTCCACCCAAATTCTTCACAAAAGCATTATCAGATAATGAATGTGTCTTTCTGATGCCAGGCCTAGCAGAAGCACCTGCACTGCTAATAGATGTGTGTTCATATGTTCTTTCAAGTAAACTTTTTTCACTTTCCATTGCACCACCAATTTCATCAGCTCGAGTACCTTCCGACCCCCGACTTTCACTGTCTAGTTCTGTTCCCTGGGTTGAGACAAGATTATCATTCTGATCTGAGTGGTAATCTAGATCATCGTTCTCTCCTGCTTTTGCTTCTCGCTGCAATAGGACAAGGAGTGTATCTATGCCACCACAAGACAGGAATGCTTCAGCAAAGGTTTGAGCTCGCGATGAATTTGGTTGTACCACTAGCCTGTAAATGAGATGCAAGACGCGCGCAACCTGGAACAGCAAAAAAAACAGGATGTCAAGAGCTACGAGTTTAGGAAACACTAATGAGTGGATACTAAGAATGGGTAAGATTTGCATACTCTACCCCCACCACAAACCCCCCACCTGTGGGGTTTTACTGGGTAGTTTGTTGTTGTAGAGTGCATACTGGGTAGTTTGTGGTTATTGTTGAAAACCTAGAATGATAACATATCTTGCATCTATATGCAATGCTTTGTTTTGATTTGTTTCCTTACTTTTTAATGGATGATTCTAATGAAACAAAGTGCTGGTTGTGCATCCACACAGAAGGCAAGAGAGAACCTCAGACCCACAAGATGATAAGCATGCACTAAATTAGTTCCTAAAGCATTCCCACATGCACTGTGCCGAGGAGTGAATGTGTGCTTGGCTAAAATGAAACATGAGGGAAACTAGAATAAAGGGGATGATTTTCCCTTGTTTCGTTGGAAAGGAAAATAAGGAATAAGTGAGAAAAAGAAAAGTTGAACCCATCCAATTTTTTTACTCTTGCATCTAGGTGGAAATTGATAAGAGAAGAGGTTTTGCCATAATGCCACACTATATATAGTAGTAAAAATAATACAAAATAACCCGGAGTAAATAAAAAAATAAATAAAATAATAAGACATTTTTCCCCCAAAAAATTCTACATTTCCTTTTTTCGGTTTTTGTTTGTCCCAAAATAAGGTTCCAATTTCCGTTTAAAGAAATAATTACATGGTTTACTCCCTCCATCCCATAAAATTATTTAGGCTTGACTAAGATTATTTTTAATTCAGTTCTTTTGAAAATTGGAGTAGAAAAAAGAATAAATGTTTATATTTGAAAACTACATCAAAAGCTCTATAAAACAAGAGGTGACATGGTTATATAATTTTGTAGTGAAAAAAAATTAAGTTAACCCTAATATGGTAAGTGTAAAGAATGTTATGGGCTGAAGGGAGTATATAAAAATCATAACTAAATATTTTACATAAAATATATATGATAAGAATTACATACAAATTATCAAATAGTAAGCTAAATAATAAATAAGAATTATATAATATAATTCTGCTATGTTGCACAGTTTCTTCAAATAAGTGCAGCTTTTTGTCCCCGATACGTTGCTGTTTGGATGCTTGAGGATTTCTTGACACTCAAAATCTTCATAAAATTTGGAAAAGTTGGTGTTTACACATTTCCAGCCCCATCCCCATATAATTACCTATCCCCGTCTCGGTGCAACTTAGGTATTCCGTAACATGAAAAAATAAGGGTTAGTAATTAAAACACTCCCTCCATCCCTTAATATCTTCCAACTTTTTTATTTGAATTGTCCCAAAATTTTCTTCCTTTTCCTTTTTAAGGAAAAAGTTGAGTGGTCCCTTACCATTTCTCTTTCCTCTACATAAACCACAACCACAAAAATTAAACTGTATTAAAATTTGTGCCAACTCAAACAAAGAAGAAAATTATGAGGCAGAGTGAGAAGTATAATTTACCGGGTATAAAGATTGTATTTTATACAATAGATATGGTAAATTTCATTAGAATGTTAGAATCTTTGATGCTAGTTGTTTTTCGCGGGTTAAAATATAGTTTGAGAAATGCTTTAAAATTATTAGACTAATTAAAATAGTATTTAATTCAATCATTTATTTTTATTATTCATTAGGTTGATATTTTATTAATAAACTACTTATATTACAAAATAGTTAAAATTGTACGAAATGATTTTTATACTTAGTGTAAATGCATCACTTGATATCATTATTCCTTTCTTTCCCTTCATTTTTTCATCCAAAAAGAAAAAATTACTACTACTTCGTATTTATTTTCCATTTTCCTTAAATCCAAGCATACCCATGGAAAACAAAAGCCCACCCAACTTATTTCCTCTCCATTTCTTCCACTCCATTTGTTCTCTATAGTTCTTTTCTTTGCCAAACAAAGCCTGAGAGATCTAACACAAAAGAGCAATTCATTCTCATTCTTGTATGCTCTTGGTGTAGCTGATGTAGTGGTGCAATCAATTAGCACCTTATTAAAGAGCAAACACTACACATGTTTCAGCACACATTTGCCAAAAAAATGAATAGTACCTGGTTTGGCTGAGGACAGTCAACCAAGAAACCAAGCAAGCAATTTATATCATCTGTGGCTAATGATGGTGGAGCAGCCACAACTAGAAGTTCAATAATAACCAAGAGTTCATCAACTAAAGCATTGATTTCACCACCAGGGCGTGTTTCCCCATATATGGAGAATGTATTTACAGAGTCACTTTCACGAATAGTCCAATAGCATTTCCTGCAGCCATCAAGAAGCATCTGAATAGCATTAGAGTCACGCATAACAGATGACTCCGTGAAGACCATGTCTGCAAGGGAGGATAGCAGCTTTTTCTGTAAGCCATAGCTGCATAAGCTCCATATCTTCAGATCCAGTAGCAATGTACTAAAAAGTTGTGCCTTGAGTGTGTGATAATGCTTCTGTGATTGACATAAAGAGACAACAGCTGCAACAAGTTCCTCATCTACAACTCCGTCACACTTCCCAACATCAAGTGAAGATAAAGTTTGCAAAAGGTAGGTCAAAATTTTTGACAATATTTCCGGCCCACTTCTGCGACTTAATTCCTCATTATTCCCAGGATACTGAATGGCCATAGAGATAATTCTAAAAATAGGAGCAGCCAGAGCAGCGGTTGCCAACGATAAAGAAAGCTCGCCTTGTTGAGGTTCCAAGGTACTCTCATGCATATTGCTTATTGCCAGAGGAAGCAATGACATCGGGCCTCCATAAGCCAAAGCCCATATGGATTCAGCAGGACGCATCCTTGTAGCAACATGAACTTGTCCAAGAACTTCTGCAAGCCTTCGATGTAGGCCTAAAAAAGAGCAATATTATGTTGGCAGTCACATAACTTTAAAAGCACTGGGCAGCTCCAAAGTAGTAAACTATGACTTAGTGCCTAGGTGCGTTTTGGACTTTAGGCAAGGATTAACCAGGGCCTAGAAAGGGTTAGACGGGGGTTAATTGTAGGCACTAGCTGTGGTGCCTAGATGGTGATATTTAGAAAATTTAATATATTTTTTTCCTTGATTTTGTTGATGTCTTGATTTCCATCATCTCGGATGGAGCCAAAATTTCACCATTTTTGGCTTTGGGATGTGATGGAATAAATCAAAATGGATCTCTAAACTGTCTGTGCTTCTTTAATTAATGAAGTAGCAGTTAGTTAAGCAATGCAACTTTCGACGTTGAGCCGGGGGTCTCTTTGGAAACAGCCTCTCTACTTTCGAGTAGGGGCAAGGTCTGCGTACACACACCCTCCCCAAACCCTACTTTTGTGGGATTTAACTGGGTTGTTGTTGTTGTAATATATTTTTTTCTTTTAAGAGATTACCAGGTGAAGAAATAATGAGGTTAAAAATTTAAGAGCAAAGTTTTTGGTTTAACACACATACTTTGAAACCATTAATGAATAACCAGTGAGCCCTTAAAAAGGTAGCTATGAAAGAAATAAATAGAAATATATCAGTAGAAACGCATAGCAATTGATAAACTAGCAAAATAAATAGGATTTGTCAGAAGTGTAATGACCAAGTGCATCTTTAAAATTTTGACCATTCAACCATAATATTAGAGGCCAGCAAAAACACTTGGATAGAAGAAAAGTAAGGCATTAACTTCTGAAGATCCACACCTGCTTTTACAAGTAATAACACTCTACATATATTAGCACACCATCACCAACAACAACAAGAGTACACTTGGATAGAAGAAAAGTAAGGCATTAACTTCTGAAGATCCACACCTGCTTTTACAAGTAATAACACTCTACATATATTAGCACACCATCACCAACAACAACAAGAGTATGGTCTAGGGAGGGGTGTGTGTACGCAGACCTTACCCCTACTCGAAAGTAGAGAGGTTGTTTCCAAGAGACCTATGGCTCAAGCAGCAAAATTAACAAAAGAAAATAATAGTATTAAAAGATCACATGAGATACATAATAGAGTAGAGAAAGCACATATAAAGCCCAAAGCACACAGAGGCAACGAACAAACTAATGTTAATAAAAGAAAAGTACTGCAAATAAAGAGCACCCAGCATATAAGGCATACAAAGCTCGCAACAAGTCCAGAAAACTACCACCTAGCCCAAAGCACCTACCCAACTGCGTCAATCCTAGCTCTCCAAATGCTCGTATCTAAGGTCATATCCTCAGTAAGGGCATGAAGTCCAAGTCTTGCTATGCCGAGAAATGGTTTTACACTTCAGTGAGATAATTCAAAAAAATGTATGCATCAGCCTTTCAGATGAAAAGGAATAATATGCAGATATAATACCTGTTACGCCATTTGGAGAAGCATCTGGGCAATATCGCCCACTAAGCAAGCTAGGATGATAAAGGAGATGAAGGCTACCGCCAATTTCTGCATCTAAAAGAGCACTTTCTTCGGAAACTCTTCGTACATAGTCATTTGTTGCTAGCCAAGTTGATGCAAATGCATGACCAAAAGAAGGAAGCACATCCCCACCTCTCGCACACAAACGTGCCATCCTATCTGGTCCAATTGGTTCTTTGAAAATATATATAGGACCCATTTCTGCAAATAGAGGGCACTGGCGCCGCCGCCTTTGTAACCCAGCCATGGTTGGAGGAGGATTAGTACCAATGCAACAAAATGAAAGCGGTCTAGAGATTCCTGGAAATTCAAATGGGCGGCTTTCATACAAGGAACCATCTATATATAACCTTAACTCACTCTCAGCTTTTCCAAGAAGCCCTTGCCTATATGAGTGCTCAAGGCCAACGAAATACCAGCACTGTGGCTTAAATGCATGAGTGAAGTGTAAAGAAGCTTTCTTTCCTTTCCCACTACCACATTCAACCACCAAGAACTGTGCATGGAAGTATGCTTCCATCCCTTGATTATCAGCAGATAAGAAGCTGAATAATCTTGGCATGTGGGCTGTGCCTTCACCAGCTAATGCACTTGCAGCAGCGGCAGCGGACATAGCAGAAGATTTCCCTGATGTAGCAGCGGCGGCTGCAGCAATTGCAGCAGCAACAGTAGCAGTGTTCAACGTGTCAGCAAACGATTCTATGTAGATCCATGTTGCAAATGCATAGCCATTTGTGAAAGGCCAGCGACTCTCCCCAGGACCAAGTAAGCCAGAACTTTCCCCATCAAATTCAAAGGTACAAGATGGACCCTTCGACTCTTTTCCATCTATGGCCTTCTCCAAAGAAAGCATCAAGTGTGAGGCCCATTTAGTAGTAACAGTACTTGAGATCACTTCAAACCATCTATGCAGGTCCCTTGCTGTAAGAGAATGTCCAGCTAAGTGCTGAATGCAATAACACAAAGGGGTTCCGTCCCATTTTGTTTGATTGTTTTTAGTGTCATCCATAAGAAAAAGCTTCTTGGCTGACTGCAGCAAGACACTTAATAAACCAGCTGTGGAGCACATTGCTCGGTTTCGGGTGCAAGCACGCAAAATAGCAAGCAACCCTCTAACCATCCGGGTTCTAGGAGACATAAGACCTGCAATATCCCCTATAGGAGACAACCAAGGAATGAGCTCACCAGCCACAATTGCAGCTCTAGAGTTCAACATCACACTTGGTGGATTATTATCTCCATCCTCCTCAAAAGACTCAACACCACCCATTGTACCAAGAAGTGAATCAACTACCAAGAAGGCAATAGTGTCAACGTCCTCCCCATTTCCAAAAGTCTGGGCACCACTCACAATGCTCTTCAGTTCATCCAAGCTTTCAGGCTTTCCCATTATAGCAGAATCTACTAAATGCAAGAGCTCTGGAGAGACATTTGAAGTAACCTGTTTCAGTTTGGGCCTTTGTGGTGAGTCAGCAGGGACATATTCAGTATCCTCATACGAACCAATGCTATCCAAAGTGTATGATTGTCTTGCATCATCAATGGAAATAGATGACATATTAGGCTCAGGACATGAAATATGGTCATGAGGTATCTCAAGAACTGCATGAGAACTAAGCCCAGGGGGAACGTTAACATCATCATTTGATTCAGGCAAACTTTTATGTTGATCTTGCAGTGAAGCATGCTCAGTCACGTGATCGAACACTGTGACTTCAGGCTCAACTCCTCCTCCTTCATGGCCTTCTCCATGTGATCCAATCCCTTCATCAGGGCTTTTAGCATGCTCTTTAGGATCCTCTTCTTCCATTCATAAAATATTATAGTTGACAGTGGAAAAGTACAAATGCTTTCTGATCTAATTTGTATATCATCAGAGTCCAGCTACATGAACAATAAAGTCATCAAAATTCCAACTTGGCCACTCAATTTGGAGTATGTGGCCCCAAACCCCCTTTTTGCCTGATATAAAAGAGCAAAACTTGTTCATAAAAATGAACAAACCATAGAAAAATGCAGCAGATCGTAAAAAATTCCTACTACAAACTCGACAAAAAGAATGGAAATGACCTCCACTCAAAGTACAAGTGACCAAATCATGCAATGGTGCACGACCGATACTGACTATGACCAATAGATAAAGGAATGAAACAATTCCTAGCTCAAGTAATTAGTACATAGTCCTACATACCATAACACCATTAAACAAGGCCGGCTTGATCCTGAATCTACAAAGTAAGATCATGCACAAAGTCCAATTCATCATACAAAGAACACTACATGTATGTACTTTGTATACTTCCTCTGTTCCATAAAATGCTTCAACAATTTCTTTATGGTGTGTCCCAAAGAAAGAATAACGTGGCTCACATTATTCTTCTTTCCTCTACATAAACATCAACCACACAGTTTTAACTTTCAAATAACCGTGTTGATTCCAAAGTGGAACCTTATTTTGGGACCGAGGGAGCATTACATGCAGGTAGATATAGAGATTATAACACATTGAAAGAGCCAAAATGCAGGCAGAACACAATGAAATTACCACTACATGAACATGTATGCATATGTCAAACATTTGTGTGTAGACGGAGAAAGGGATTGTTTCATGATTGTAGCATTAAATTCCGATGATTTGGATCCGGATCCCCATTCATGATTCCCAAATTTCTTTTTGGGGGAAGAATTTGAAGAAAGCATATGAGGAAGATCAAGGGAATTAATGGATGAAGAAGGCAAGGAGGGGGGGAAGAAAATGGAGGAATTGCCTAGAAAATGAGTTATATTAAATTCCCATAAAATGTAATACGTCTATAATAAAACATTATCCAACACTTACATTTGATTTCTTAATTGCTCACCAAAGAGCTGTGGACTATGGTTGTAATTTGATATCATTTCTGTTCTCTCCTAACATTAAACTCTCAATTCTACCTCTTAAATTGACAAAAAATGCTACAATGAACCTCTTTGCTTGTTTGATTCATTATGTCTCCTAATTAGTTCTTTGATCTTGCCTACTTGTTGTGGTTGGTCATCATCTTTTTAGTGTAATTTGTTTTTTATTCATTATCTTGCTGGGTTGAGTTTCTGGTGTGGTGTTGTTGTTTAAGTAATGGTAAGGCAATGGATTGCTGAATTGAAATGGATCTTTTTCATTGCCAATTTGTTTTGCTTGTTACAATGAGCGTGATGACCTTATTTAAAACTCATGAACTTGTAATATGACAATAAACGATCATTTAAGTTATTATAATGGCTGAAATTCAGAGCACCCAGACACCAATTAAACAGATCTTCTTCCTTATGAAACTGATTCTTCAGTTTATCTGCCATGCACGAACCAACAAAAAAATGAATGCATACAAGCAAACTGTGTCATACGTAAGGGAAAGAAAGTTTGGAATCGCTAATGCGAGCGGGTGGACCAAATTGGAACGCATTGGATTCAAATTAAGTCGCTGATTATACCTCAGCGGCCTCCGGCGACGCCGATCTGGAGCGAAATGTCGGTTCGGAAGTCTTCCGGCGATGGCAGATTTCGATTCCGTTGTGATACTTGTGGATCTCCCTCGGCGTAGAAGTTCGCGGCGGAAGCGGGGTAGGCTTCTTTCACGACACCAGCGGCTGGAGCAAATGTGTTGGCAGTATTGGTGGCGTTAATTGTTTTACCGCGGAGGAGTTGTTTGTTTCCGGTACAACTGAAAAGCTTTTTACCTGGCGGAGGAAGAAGGGAGCATTTTTTCAATTTATTTTTCATCAAGTACTTCGATATATTTTAAATGTGTATATTGGGCAATAAACTTTTTTTTTTTGCCTCTCCAAATAAAAACATGTTTCTCCCTATAAAAAAAAATTGACAACACTTTTCATCACACCGTCAAAGCATACTTTTATATCACATTGTCATTATATATTTTTATTTTGGTCTTAAAATATTTTTGATTTCTATTTTGATGTTTTCATACTTTTTTACTCAAATTCAGGAAATTTCTGTAGATTTTCCAGTCTTTCAAAAAAAAGATCAACCATGTCCGGGCCTAATACCCACCTAGCGAGTAATTTGAGAAGGTAAATTAAATTTTAGAGTATTACACGTGGAATAGGATATCTCCTCCGTTCCTAAAAGATTGCCACAGTTTGACTTTTTTAGTCAAACACTGACACCCTTTGATTACAAATCAAAAATATAATTTAAAATAATTAAATATTACAAGAATTTGATATTTCAAAACCATATTTTAAAAAAGCCCTAATTTTACTAGATTTACATTATATGGAGTAACTAAATATATTTTTTATATAATTCGAGTTCAAACGATGCCACAATTTAACCAAAAAAAGTCAAATTGTTATATATTTCGTATGTGTAAGGACCACATGTTATGCACAATCGTGCTTCGTCGAGGCCAGGAGTCAAACTCATCTTTTGCACCACCCTTCTTACTCACTAGAGCGTGTTCTCCTATCTGATCTGTTTGTCTGATATGATTGTAATTATATTTAAAAAAAATTAAATTTAATTTCAATGAGAATAAATAATATTGAATCTGTTTCAAAAAACACGTTTGTCCTAATTTTTTGCGCATACTACTAATCAGTTCTACCCCACCTAAAATGTCAAAAATATTCTCAAAATAACTTCAACACGCTAAAAAAATAAAAAATTAAATTTTATAGAATATATTTCAATTTAAAAAATTAAAAATTAAATTTTTAACAAAGAATTATAAATTAAAATAATTAAACTCCAATTTTTAGAACTTAAAATTTAAATTTAAAATTATAAACTACGGAGTATAAATTAAGAGTATTAACACTTAAAATTTTAAAATTTAAATTTAAAATTTAAAACTAAAATTAAAAATAAATGTTTGAAATGTTAATTTAAAATTTAAAACTTAAAAAATTTAATATAAAAACTTAAAAATTTAAAATTTTACATTTTAATTTTAAATTTAAAACTTAAAACTAATGATTAAAATTTTAAAAATTAAAAGTTCTGCCAAAACATGTTGCCGGTCAAACCAACTAAACTCATTTGTCATTCAAAACAGCTAACACAAACAATCAATAATCAATCACTGAAAGCCAAAATACAATTCTATATCAATTTTATATACAATTTTGTGCTACCAAACAAAGGATTTGGAATTACAATACTATTTTATATTAATTCTTTAAATGTACCAAACAAATTATTTGAATTCGAATTAGAATTCAATTCCATCTATTTTGATGTCATAGAATTTCAATTCCAATTCAGTGTATCAAACTGAGCCTTACTGTTTGCGGCGGCGAAGGCGGAGGAGCAGCCCCCCATCAATGTGCAGATTGATCATAGTCCGGTAGTTCACCACCGCGGCTTCATCAGCCATCTTGAAGGCAAAGAACCTTACCAAAACTGCAGAGTATATCTTCATCTGCCTGTATGCAAATTCCTTCCCTAGACATATCCGCGGCCCCGCCTGTTTTTTTTTCAAAATATGTCCAGTTACAAAGAACATATGCTGTAAAACCGCAATGTAGAGCTTGTTCTCTTCAACTTATTCGTACTACTTATTTTTACTAGAATCAGATCAGAAACAGCTTTAAATACAACTAGAATCATATCAGAACTAATTCAAAGGTGAAGAGAACAAGCCCGTACTCATCACAGTGCCAGAATGGCTGCCAAGATACCTGAAAAGCTGTGAATTTGAAGGGGCTTTCGGGCCTGAAGTGGCCATTCTGGTCGAGCCATCGCTCAGGCTTGAAGTCTGGTGCATCTTCACCCCATATGAATTGCATCCGTCCCATTGCATAGGGCTGGTAAGACACCATATCGCCTTTCTTCACGCTGAACCCATCCGGTAATGTGTCATCTGACAAGCTTATTTTTGGATCCTGTTCCCAGAAACACACAATTTCATTCAGGTCAGTTGTTGATATATTCCAGACATATACTTCTTTAGTGGGTTCTTTTGACATCACCCATGAGTCTTAACCCTGAAATGGTTTCCACTTCCTTAATCTCAGTTCGCCCCTTGCATCCGGGTACAAGACTAGGCTAGGATTATGGAGATGTCATGACACCATACTTTGTTGTCAACAGAACCTTGCTCATATTTATTAGAATGTATTGCCCATGAGTAACTAGTACACCCTTTGTTTCTAAAAGAACTTCAATTTTTCCATAGTTGGTTAAGAAACACGTGTAAAAAGACAATTTTACCCATCATATATAACAACAAAGTAGAAGTGAAAAGTAAAATTGTAGGGTAAAATAAGAAATTTTTCACAAAAAAGTGAAGTTCTTTAGAGTTGAGCATTATTTTCGATCATCTGAATCAATTATTTCGACAAAAAAAAAAACACTCATTAAAATCCCATAAAGAAGTAGGCCCAAAGAGAGTGTGTTAGTAGACCGACCGAATAACAATACAAACCCTAAAAAAAAGAGAAATTTACCTAAATAAGACTAAAACATAATGACTTTCCCAATATAGGACCATATGTTTTTATTTCCCAATATAGGACCGTTGGTCATTATCAAGTAGTCATTATTCAACTAAATGTCCATCATTACTAGACATTATTCCTTCCACTAGGTCATTATTAAGTCCTATTTAGGGAATAAAAAAGTTTAAGTCCTACATTCGGAAAGTCATTATGTTTTAGTCCTATTTACTGCAAATTTCACAAAAAGAATACAAAAGCTCAACCATAGACGAAAGAAGGCAACTATACAAAGCACACAACCACAAGCTGCACACTAGGCATAAACTACAAAATAAAAGAAATTAAATTTATTACCACAGGAACTGCAGGATAAAGCCGGAGAGTCTCGGTCAGCACAGCATGAAGGTATTGCATCTTCTCCAAAGCTTCTTCACTCAAATTGGCAGCAAAATCTGCAAAGCTCTTCACATCATCGGATGTCGCGGTGGCTTCTCTGATCTCCTGAGCCACCTTTTCCTGCACCAGAGGATACTTACAAAGCATATACACAAACCATGACAGAGTTGTTGCAGTAGTGTCTTTGCCAGCAATGATGAAGTTCAGAATGATGTCTCGCAGGTACTTTGGGTCTGTTTCGTTCACCTGCAAAAACCTCGACAGAATGTCTTCTTTCTTCCACCCCAACTGCAATGTTTTGAGTATTACTAGGTATAAGTTAAGGTACACCAAAAGAAGATTCGATATGTTGATAAATGTTATCCCAGAAAAAATGCATTCTTTTGCTTTGTTTTGTTTTTACTTTGCTTTCTTTTTCCCTCTCACTTTAAACCTGTGTTTGGAAAAACTATGGGCAAACATTATATTTAAGCCTTAAAAAAGGGGAGGACTGTGATGAAATCACCTACACATGAAGAGTCATTTTCATCCCCAGCCACCTGCATTTGCTGGATTTTGCTTTGAATGAGCTTGTACACAAAGTCGTCAACAATTCTGATATTCTTCTTCAACTTGGCTTCTGACCCAATGTTAAGTGCTCTTTTGAGCTTCCAGAAGACATCAACGTACCGCCAGAGTGTCAACGCGCTCGCATCATCAAAGGCCCGGCTGAATTTCACACCTTCATCACTTGAATCCCCACTTATGCTGTCCAGTTCTGCTCCAAATGCCACTTTGAAAATCGAGTCTAGAGTAGATTTCATGAACAGATCCTACAAACAAACATGATTCAGGCATCATCAAATGGTAATTAACTTGTAAAAGTAAAACCCATTTTTTTTTACATAGGCTCAAGTTTGATCCTATGAAACGTGGAGTTGGACCCAAAAGAGATCTCGATCGATTATCAAAGAGTTGAGTCCAATGCTAAGCAAGGTATGCAGAAAAATGAGGAAGCTAACTCTAACTAACTTGGACATCAATTGTCTTCTCAGAAGTTGCAGCTTCAGACAATATGTTGGCAAGCTTGACAGCATTTCTTTTAAACACCACACTGCTAAAGTCCCTCAAAACTCTAGTAGAAAACTCGTGGCTTGACACCTTGCGCTGCTGCCGCCACTTGTCACCATCAACTGTAAATATCCCATCTCCTAACAAGTCCCTCAGAATAGTATTATTGTAACACCCCTGCACATAGTTCAGTTTAGCACTTTTTAAGTATTACTCCCTTTGCTATTTCGAACTAGAGTAAATCAATATGAAAATACCAAAATATGAGTGTCTGTTGGTTGACCATTGTTGACCGATGGTCCAGTTGACCAGACTGCTTTTTTTAATATTTTTTCATTTTACTCCCTCTGTCCCTAAAAGATTGTCACAGTTTGACTTTTTAGGTCAAACTGTGGCACCCTTTGACCGTGAATTATGGAAAAAGTATATTTAGTTACATTGTAAATTTTAAGAGATTTGGGTTTATTTTAAAATATAGTTTTGAAATATCAAATTTTTATAATATTTAATTACTTTAAATTATATTTAATTTGTTGTCAAAGGATGCCCACTGTTTGACCAAAAAAGTCAAACTATGTCAATCTTTTAGGAAAGAACGGCGGGAGTATCTATTTGCACTACCATCACACTGCACTTCTATAGCTACTGGCATAGCACTCCTATTTTGGTATTTTCTGTTCCCTTTTACAGTAGGGAGATTTCTTTAACAAGAAAACAGTTATATCAAGCTCAATAATAATTTATACAAGAACAATAGAACATGCAAGATATGTCTATGAAACTTTAAAATTCACTTAGATAAAAAAAAAGAGGGATTCCGGTGAATATATAAAACCGCAGACCTTTCCGTAATTGTCGAAGTTGGTTTTGAGAACATGCTCAACATTAGCGGGGTCGGAGGTATAAACCTCGGACCGGAAAAGGTTGATTAGCCGGTAAGTTTTGTACTTTCCGGCGAGATCCGTCATGTAATGGTGCAACCGGTTGAAATTTCTAAGCTGGTTGAAGACGGTGCCAGCGACGGGATGGTACTTCTTCTTCTTCTTATTCGCGCCGTCACCTTGCCAATATCTGAGAAGAAAGTACAGGACGGCCGAGATTGCAGAGAGGGAGAGAGTGAGGAAAGCTAGTGCGGGGGAGGCTGCCGGAGTTTGTGGAAGAAGATGAAGAAGAGGAAGAGCGTCCATGGCAGGTCTGCTCTCGACTGAAATAATGGTAATTTTGGTGTGTGGCTCAAGATGATGATGATGACGAAGAAGAGTATGTGCGTAAACGGAAGATATCACAAACAACTTTAAGACAGGTGGGGAATTAAATGAAGTTGGTTTACATGTGGGGCCATAAATAACACTATCTCTTTTTTCTTAAAACGTTAGTTATTTTCTTTACTTATTTTTTACATATTTTTATTAGTTATTTTATAAAATAATATAGCCTTGTTACATACTCCTTCCGTCCCAAAAAGTTTGTTACGTTTAGAAAAAACGGCGTCCCGTAAAGTCCGTTACATTTCTATTAAAAAACCACTTTTACCCCTTACTTTTTCATACCCTACCTATCACATCATACTTTTTTCCTAATAATCCACCCATCACATCCTATTTTTACCCATCACATCAAGGGTATTTTTGGAAAGTCAATACCAAAATATCCCTCCCTTAATTTCCCAAAAAATCAAACCGTCCCATTCTTTTTGGGACGGAGGGAGTATTATTTTATAGAATTTTAGATGTAGTTTTTATATATACATCTTATTTTTAAATTTTACACCTACAATCAAATAAATTGAATTTAAAATAAAATCGGTCAAATTGAATTTAGGACGGAAGGAGAATCTATTTTGAATTTTAACGATTTCTAATATAACACTTTGATTAGTATCTCTATTTGTATATAATAAAAAATATAATATTTTAAAACTATATTTCATACTGCATTTATTGTTATTACATTATACTCCGTATGACAATTCAATATAATCTTTCTATAATTAAAGGGTAAAGTTTAAAAAGTTTAATGAAAAAAGTCAAACTGGAAAAAAAAATTTGAACGTAGGGACTATATTAAAAATTGATACTTCGTAGATAATAGCGAGAAATAATTTGAGCAATAGAAATTATTCAATTTTTTTGGATGAGAGAAAAAAAGGAACTATGAAATCTTTTTGTGCGATAAAGAGAGTATATTTTTGTTAGGTTTTAAAAAAGTGAAATCTCAAATGTAAAAATTCTCTAAAGTAAAAAAATTACCATGCATGAAAATATTAGAATATGAGTTTTAAGTCTTTTAAAACGAAAATAAAAGTTCGTACTTTCATTGTTACGTTCTAACTGATACACTCGTCACAGTACTGTCGTACCCTACCGCTGTCGGTTGCCAAAGCATGTCGCCAGTCGATTGTCGGAGCGCCGACTATTGGTCGTTCAAAAACTCTCTAAAATTATATTTTGCGAAGTAATTTTACTTTTCTATACAAGAAGTATAAAAATAATTTTACATTTTTTAGCTTTTATTTAGGGATTTGTTTTACTTTAATAAACTTTTAATTTTCTGACACAAAATTATTATTCTAATTTTATTTTTTAGTCATGCTGACCATAAATCGTGAAAAGATATATTTAATTATAATGTCTCTTAATATATTTATGTTCATTTTAAAATATATTTTTTTATTTATTTACATTTATAAACTCCATGTTTTCACTTCAATATACTTAATACTCCGTATATTTAATTCCTCATACTAAAGATTACAAAAGTGTAGATAATTTTGAGAAGAAATAGTATTCCCTTTCTCTATTCCTCATACACAAGTGGATGCTCTTTGAAAGCAACCAAGAATTGAACGGATCAGAAGTTCGATCATGAATTCATGAGCATGGTGATTATTCCCTTTCTCTATTCATCTATTATGAAGGCGTAATTTCCTCTAATTTGTGAAAAATCCTCAGTAATTTATGTGATCGCGTCTCAGGTATGAGTTTTCTCAAGGAATTGGTGGATACCGTAAACTCGATCTTCCGCTATCAACAGCAACCGTCTTCTTCTTCTTCTTCTTCGCCGGAATCTCATCGAAACCCTGACGGCCGATCAATGGACGGCGTCAGCACCGGCAACGAGCGCACGGCTTACAAGCTCAAAAGCTACTTCGATTTGGCCAAAGAAGAGATCGCCAAAGCTGTCCGGGCCGAGGAATGGGGCTTGGCCGAAGATGCCGTTTCGCACTACCAAAATGCCCAGAGAGTTCTTGCAGAAGGCATTTCTACCCCTGTTCCTTCGTACATCACATCAAGGTGCTCCATTTTTTTGTGCTAGTCTAGTTTGATGCTCTTGGTACCAAAAAAACTGAATATTTATATGCTTCTTTCAGCAAGTGCTTTATCGTTAAATTGCTATTAAAATATTACTCCCTCCAAACTTTTTGAACTTTTACTGTATATTACGGAAAAAATACATAGAAACATAGTTTTGAGATAATAATGATCAAAGTGTTGCATTGACCGTGAAAGTCAAATGGGAAGTTAATTTTAGGACAATGGGAATACAAGAGATGGTGAACACTTTCAAGGAGCTTATTAGAGTCAGCTATTGGATTTTTGCATAAGTCTTTTACTTCAGCTAGATAGCCTCATTGCTGCACATTGTGCAAAATTTGATTTAGTTGGAGGACAGATGTATAAGTCATTAATGTTGTGCTAAAGGGTTACTGATAATGAGTAGCCAAGATTAGAACAAATGTTGAAAGAAGTTAAAGAGAGGAATTTAAGCCCCCCCCCCACCACCACCACACACACACACAATTGCTGTATCTGATGTTGAGCTTCTGTGTACTATGTTTTCTTGAACTGAAAATGTTTTGGCATACTTTTGGCAATTACTACAATTTACTGTTGAATGAGTTGTTGGTTAGCTGTTTTAGTGTTTTGTGCCAGTGAACTAGAAAAGGCCAAATCTTTTCGCCAAAAGATGTCACAGTGGCAGGGCCAGATTGCAGAGAGAATCCAAACTTTAAGTCGAAGACCAGGTCTAGTTCTTGTTTGTATTTGAATCCATTTGTTTTCAAACTGTGTTCTTGGATTAGGGAAATTGGGGACTAGTTATAAATTATAGATATATAGTTAAATTCATTCTCCTCGTGTTGACAGGAATTTCAGGTAGTACATCTGCTGTAATCAAGGTATGGTCTGCTTCGAACAAAGTGTAAGTTTGTACTGTTCTGATTCGCGTGCATTGGTTCCATAAACCAGCTGGGTTGGGAGTCTTGGGACGTTATACATTATTACGAAGCATTTCAAGACTATTCTAAAAAAATATCTACTGAATTGTTTGGCATTTTAACTCCATTCTTTTCCTCAAATTCTCTAATTCGTAAGGGCTATGTGGATAGATTAAACTACTTAAACCTTTGCGAATTTCCATTGGCTTGGTGGGAATATCCTCCATCACCAGACTTTTGGCTTAGGTGCTATGCTTTCTGAAATTATTATGGAGTATTTTGTTTTCAGAGTGGCGCTCCTCGGGTCCAGAATACATCTGTTTCGCCTACAAGCTCTTATCTTAGAAAATCTGCAGTTGAAAAGCCTTCTGGATCCAATAAGCACAGGGATGATATTAGGATCAAATCTACAAAAGTTGGTAGCTCAAAACCTGTACAAGAGTCCGGTGGTGGATATGATGTAAAGTTGACTGAAATGATAAATTCCGTGATTGTTGATAGAAGTCCTTCTGTAAAATGGGAAGACATTGGTGAGAATCTTTCTGTCATATTCCATTTGTTCCAATATTTATTCTATTAATGTTTTGCAATTTACAAATTTAAATTTCTACAGCTGGGCTTGAAAATGCAAAACAAGCTCTGTTGGAAATGGTAATACTGCCAACCAAAAGGCGAGATCTTTTTACAGGACTTAGAAAGCCTGCAAGAGGTATTCTTTCACAGGGACCAGTGCCATTCTATCATCTAAGAAACAGAGGCCTTTTATGACAACAGTTCTGTGGCTTCTGTCTTGCAGGTCTGCTTCTTTTTGGTCCACCTGGTACCGGCAAGACCATGCTTGCCAAAGCAGTTGCTTCAGAGTCTCAGGCAACATTTTTCAATGTGTCTGCTTCCTCCCTAACATCAAAGTGGGTGAGTGTTTCATTTCCCTGCTGGTTTTTTTTGTTCATAAAGTGTAATATTAAGTGTTCTAGTTTCTCTGTTTCTTTGACAGGTGGGAGAGGGCGAAAAGCTTGTTCGGACCCTTTTCACGGTTGCCATTTCCAGGCAACCATCAGTAATTTTCATGGATGAGGTACGGCCTATCTATAACACTGACAAGTTGGTGGTTGGTTAGCTGGATTGTCAATTCTTCTCTCCCGGGGAGGGCGGAAGGGATCTTTGCACGTTTATGTGAAACATATGTTGTTAGCATTATCACTTGGGTTAGGACTAGATTTATTTAATCACTCTGGTGGTGGCAAGGTGGGAAAATAGATATTTGGAGACGGATTCATATCACCATGTGGTTCAGATTAAAGTTTAACCAAAAATGTGAGTTGGGCAATTGGCTAAAATTGAAAAAAAAAAACAGCGTTGGTATATAACTACGTTTTGCAGAGATTTAAAACTTTGGCTAAAATTGCATTTGTCTGCTAAAGTTTGGCATTCTAGTTAACAGGTCAAATTAGAGGAAAGATAGAGTAAGAAGCAGCAGCATATATGTTTCCTTGTCTCTAAAAATGGGCCTTAAGGGAATTGTATTGGTTACTTTTCTCGCTGTTTGTATTGTCCTTTACGTGATGCTTACTTCTATAATGTCTATGTGGTTAACAGATTGACAGTATTATGTCAACTAGGATGGCCAATGAGAATGAAGCCAGCAGGAGGTTGAAATCTGAGTTCCTTATCCAGTTCGATGGGGTTACATCTAATTCAGATGATTTGGTAATTGTTATTGGTAAGATGCACTTATAATTTTGTAGTATGAAATTGCTCCTTGCTGTGTCATGTCATGTGTTCAGTTTGCATTTTTCAAGTTTGCTATTATCAATGCAACCAGATTTATGGCTGTATCATGATTCTCCTTCATATACTCCTCCCGTTCTAAAATGAAGTTTACAATTTGACTTCATGGAGTTTTAGAGAAGTGTTGAAAAGTAAAAGTGTGATTGAAATTTGTATGGAGGTGATAGAAATGTTGTAAGCCACATTCATTTCCTTATCTAGAAAGTAAGTGTAAAGTGTAAACTGTAAACTCTATTTTGGGACATCCCAGAAAGGAAAACGTAAACTTCATTTTGGCACAGAGAGTAATTTCCCCCCCTGCTTTTCTGTTCATCTTATCTTGTCTAAATTGTTAGTTTGAAACATCTAGTCTTTTTTTTTTTCTCCAAATGTTATACCATATAACATATTTTTTCTTCCCTGCCTAACTTATCTGCTTGTTATTTTAGGTGCGACAAATAAGCCACATGAATTGGATGATGCAGTTCTCAGGAGATTGGTTAGTATGGGGGCTTTGACTTTTATTAGTATTACTATTCTTACCATTGTTATAATAATAATAATTATTACTGATTAATATTATTATCCACTTTATTTATGTATTTTCACAAACAGAATATCCACTTCTGTTTTTTCTTTCTACCACATGACAGGTGAAGAGAATATATATACCTTTGCCAGATGCAAGTGTTAGAAGACAACTCCTAAAACACAGACTAAAGGGAAAACAGTTTTCTTTGCCCGGTGAGCCTTTTGGTAGCTCCATGTCCAATGCTACTTTACTTGTTTTGAGTTGAACTTCTCTTTGTTAGCTAACACGTTCTTCGTTTGGTCATTTATCTTTGCCAGATGGAGATCTCACCAGGCTCGTGAGAGAGACAGAAGGTAGGGAAAGCTTATGCAATGGTTATCGTTCATGTTGAGACTACTCCGTAACATTTAAGAATATGAGTTACTACTCTCACTGGTCATTACCAATTTGTTTTGAATTGGAATAGTTCTACAGTTTATGGACATACATATACAGGACATTGCTGTTCCACTGAACTTTTTGTTTGATAGGGTATTCTGGAAGTGACCTTCAGGCCTTGTGTGAGGAAGCTGCAATGATGCCAATCAGAGAGCTTGGTTCTGACATTCTTAGAGTGAGCGCGAACCAGGTAGACCGTATCTTTATAGTGCGCTCCATGATTGCTACATATATTTCTGGTATGATTTTTTGGTTTGGTTTGGGAATAAATATGTAAGTGGGGGATGGTTTCCAGGTGCGAGGCCTGAGGTATGCAGACTTTGAGAAGGCAATGTCTGTGATCAGGCCTAGCCTCCAAAAAAGCAAGTGGGAAGAACTTGAGCGGTGGAACCGAGAGTTTGGCTCAAACTAAAACTACTTGCATTGCATGCCATTGAGATGTAACACTTGAATTCATTTGTTGTAACCAGCCAAGTAGTGTTCTAAAAATTGCTAGACGTATAAGTAATTCGGCACATTACGCTTCTTAATTTAGCAATCGGGCCGGCCTAAAGCCCGCATGTTCTTGTGTCGGCCGGGCTAGGGCTGCAAATGATCGTGAGTAATGCGGGACGGGGTGGGCTTGAGCCTAGAAAGTTCTCGTGATGTAACGTCTCAACCCTACTTGAAACCCGGTCTGGCACGCATTTTGATCAGGTTTATTTACGAATAAATTCTTGAAAAATTAAGACATCATTTCAAGAGTAAAAGCAGCAGAATTGAATTGAACCCTGCAAATGGTCATAAAATACACATTAAATCAACTTTTGCCCTTTACCAAAATTGGTTTATAAGATCTACATGAATAAAGCATGTAATTATATTTGTTAAAACAAAAAGAGGAGAGGAAAAAAAAAGCAGGGCAAAGGTTATATCACAGCAGGGAGAGAGAGGAAATGTGCATGAAATATATGCAATCTTTCTCCGGGAAATTGAAGCCTAAGCGAATTCTGATCTGAGGACAAAGGAGTAGTGGTTGAAACCTTTCGCTAGTATAAGATCAACAATATTTTTTTTGTAAGAGAGAAAAAAAAAGAGGATGAAACCCCCATCCACAAGGGCCATTTAGCACACGCGGGATAGTTAGCTGAGAGGATGTAAATTGAATTAAAATCCTACTTAGGTTTTGTGTCTGGTATTTGCAGAAATCTCATACTTTGCCTGATTGTCTCTCATCGCAGCCATCGAGATCTGGCCCTTGTAGCATCCATAGGCCAACCGCTGAGCTATATCTTACCGGCAAGAGATATGAAGTATTCTTTCCGTCTGTCGTATAGTAGATCTTTCAAAATACCCTTTTTGTTTGTTTGAAAAAGATCTTTACATTTTTTTAACATTTAAAATACAACAACTATCTCTTTTTATTTATTACACCCCAGTTAATATACTCCACTCACTTTCATTAATAAAAAAAGTATTTTAGTAAACTTTTATCTTTTTTAGCTTTCCTTAAAAACTACGAGAAGTTAATTTGAGAAGATCTATTTTAGTTGAACTCTTGATTTTTTTGGAAGTAGCTTCGTTTTCAAAAAAGCTAGCCAATTACAACATTGTATTGAACTTAGTATATTAAAAATTAATCTTAAATCTATACCATTAAATATTATACTCCATCCATTCCATAAAACCCTACTCATTCGTTTTATTTCAATTCCCTAAAACACTTTCAATTTCTATTAAAAAACCAATTTTTTTCTTACTTTTTCATACTCTACCTATCACATTATACTTTTTTACTAATAACCAAACTATCACATCTTACTTTTACCCATCACATCAGAGATAAAATTGAAAAGTCAACTAAAATTACACTTTTCTTATTTTGGTTCAAAGTCAAAACAGGAAGTGTTTAAAGGAAGAAAGGAAGAGGGAGTATAAAATACTAGAGCTAATTGAGAAGGGTATTCTACAATACTTCTCCCCTAGCTCCTCCAAAATAGAAATGATCCCCTTTCCTTTTTATTTGTCTCACAATAATATTCTCATTTTTAAAGAGACAAAAGCTTTTTTTTCTTAATTTAATTTTGACCAAATTTTATGCTACACAATACATTACTATATTATTACCACATGTCTAAATAAATACTCCGTAGTACGGAGTACAAATTAAAAAATTAATATCATTCTATATTTGATATATCAATATATATATATATATATATATATATATATATATATATATATATATATATATATATAAATAAAATAAATGAATGGCTCGGTTCTTTTGATAATAAAAATTACTCTATCATATACTCCCTCCGTCCCAAAAAGTTTGTTACGTTTAGAAAAAAATGCGTCCCATAAAGTCCGTTACAATTCTATTAAAAAACCACTTTTACCCCTTACTTTTTCATACCCTACCTATCACATCATACCTTTTTTCTAATAATCTACCCATCATATCATACTTTTACTCATCACATCAAGGGTATTTTTGGAAAGTCAATACCAAAATATTCCTCCCTTAATTTTCCAAAAAGTCAAACCATCCTATTCTTTTTGAGACGGAGGGAGTAGAAGAATTTGCCTTTGCTAATAATCAAAATTTGTTTGAATATAATTTTTTTTAATATGCCGACCATCTCAAGCTCAAGCTTGTGCATGAATATATGAGTTTTTATCATTGTATCGCAACATGTTTTGACCCACTCGTTTGTCACAATATCCGTAAAATTCAATTCATATACCTGACTACATGTGGTTCATCCAACCTAATTGTGTCCGCTTTCAAGTTTTGACTTGGGACTCTAGCATATCTCCACACAAAAAATACGCACTCTATTTTAGTAAGTATATATTTTTTTATGTCAAATATAGAACAATATTAATTTATACACTTTACTACATTTAGACGACATTTAGCTTGTGTGGGTTCATGTATCTAAATAATTAATAATATATGAATGTAACATCTCTATATACTACGTATAACTTTGTGCGTCTGTATAAATTTTGTAAAATACGAGAAAAACAATAATACCTTGAGTACGTACGTAAGGTCGAAAGAGAAAATCCCTAATAACAAGAGCAGAGAAAGATGGGTGGGTTCGGTGGAAGCAATGGATGCACTTTTGTGGCTATACTATGTTCCTTTATGATAATATTTCTACTATCCGGTGAGTCTACAATAATTACTACTACCTCCGTCCCGTGAAACATGGGACATTTGCTTTTTAGGAGGGATTTAAGGGAGTGTATTTTGGTATTGAATTTTCAAAAATGTCCTTTGATGTGATGGGTAAAAGTATGATTTGATGGATAGATTATTAGTAAAAAGGTATGATGTGATAGTTAGGGTATGAAAAAGTAAGGGGTAAAAGTGACTTTTTAATAGAAATGAGATGTGTTTTGTGGGACGGATAAAAAAAGAAAGGGGAAATGTTTCACGGGACGGAGGTAATAGAAAAATGCTAGGGGTACACCAAATGTGTACCCTATATGTCCCCCACCCTTTCCTTGTCCACAAAAAAAGGCAAGAAAATCTAAAAAGGATAAATAAATAAAAATCAAATAAAAATGTGTGGTGGAGAAGAGGGTGGTGTACATTTGGGGTACACCTTTGGTGTACCCATATCATCATTATATTTACTCCTTTATTTAAGAGTATTTTTTGTCTAGTTTGAATTTTTCGAGGCAAAATAGACAATTTTTAGTTATGAATTACTCTTAATTTGTATTGCATATCAATACTATAGAATAAACTTTTGAAAGTTCAAAACAAGTTAAATATATTAAAATCGTTTTATACTCATATACATTATAATTTTTATTTAATTAAGGTTTAAAGTTTGTAGAGTTTGACTCGAAAAAATCAAACTAGACAAATACATTGAGACAAAGATAGTATTCTATATCTGATTTATATATGCATAATAATTTGAGCTCTTTAATTTTTTATTGATATTTATTATGCCTAATAATTTGTGGATGTTTCTCTATGATGGTGCTTATTGACTTATTGCTGATAAAAAAAATTTAATTTACAAGATGCTAATAAGTCAAATATATTTTTTTTGAAAATAAAATGACTTATTAAATGATAGATACTTCAATTGCAAATATTCATAAATGTTGATTGACAGTTTTATAAATAATTTGATTAACATGGAGAAGTGAAGAAACTAGCTTAAAAGTAAGTAGCAAAAACATATAGTATTTTTTATATCTTATAAGCAGCTTATAAGCCAACTTATAAGTACATAGAAAAATGTCATCAACTGACTTATAAGTTTGAAACTATTTATAAGAAGTTTTAACCAGCTTATTGCCTTTATCACATTTACGCATATTAACTTCTTTAATTTTATATTATGCCTAATGATGTTGTGATTTTGAACTATGTATATTGAAAGGTCCAGGAATGATGGTGAATGGGGAAGCAAATGATAATGGTAATAATAATAAAAATGTGTTATATGGTCTGGTGGGGCCGCCAGGTTGTTTGCTGCCAACAAAACCACGTTGTCGCACCGATGCGGAGTGCGAAGGCCGGCAAAAGTGGAGGGGCATGCCTTTCTTTTGATAGTCCCAACGCCTTCCTTTGTTGTTGTAACAACAAATGACACAAGCTGACGTGGCGTATCTCAATCAATAAGATATAATTTAGTCATAGAATGGCATATGTGTGGAGTAGCAATCCCTATAATGGCAAGTCATTCTTTTTATTTTTTTTCTCAAAAAAAGAAGATGTATTGTGATTAATAAAAATTATTTTATCATTAAAGACCCAAGTTCTGCCATCTCTCTTGATGTACATGAATGCCTTGAGACCCAAGTTCTTCAAATCATCCTGGTTGTAATCTCTTTTCATCCATGACTTGTGTTGGTAGTGTGGAGATTCGGAAGAAGATGAGAACACAACAAAATGATTTATTAAGCACAGCTAAAAAAATCACTCTGTTGTGTTCTCATCTTCTTCCGATTCTCCACATGGTATTAGAGCTAAGGCATTAATGTTGGAATCGCGCCCGTAGTTATCTGCGCCTCGTGTGTGGGGGGCGTGTTAACTTATTCATCCCACACCGCCCGTAGTTATCTGCGCCCGTAGTTATATTATGCTGTTATATTGTTTTATCAAGTAACTAATGAAAATTGAAAAACAAATTGAATAAAGTCTTACCCAATGGATAGTAAATCGGCAATTTAAATTGAGACAGAGGAAATAATTTTTTGTTACAACTTATTTCATTGAAGTTTTTATGTATATACTCCCTCCGTCCCTAAATAAAGTTCCTCTTTCATTTTTTTCTTTGTCCCTAAATAAACTTCTCTTTTCACTTAAAAAACCCCTTTTACCCTTTACTTTTTCATACCCTATCTATCACATCATACTTTTTTACTAATAATCTACATATCACATCTTACTTTTACACATCACATCAAAGGTATTTTTGGAAAGTCAACACAAAAATATCTCTCCCTTAAATCCTCAAAAAGTCAAAAATGGAACTTCATTTAGGGACGGAGGGAGTATTATTTTCCTAATCTTTAATTAATTTTCTTCATTAATTGTTACGAGTTTCAAGGTAAATAACAACGGTGAAGGGATGGCAGTTGTAATGGATGGTTGAGAGGATATCAAAACCCATTGAATTTGCCTGTGTCTGGATATATTTCTCTGAGTAACTAAATACCAATTAGTCTCCACATTCAATCACACTCACCAAAACCCATTGAATTTTCCTGGTGGTATTCTTGTGTAGAAGTCCTCTTCTTCTCCCCTATCAGTCTCTCTCCGGTGGTGTGTAAACCACACACACTCATTTAGCACAAGACAATGAGAGATGTAATGTCGTAATGATGTTATCTAATAAAAACTCTAGAAATGAACTTTAAAGGGAAAACGATTGTACACGGATATGATTTTTGGCAAATTCTTCATGTTTTACCCAAAGCTTCGAGAGATGAAACTGTAGGTGCTACCATCAATTCTTCAAAATTGTAGTCATATTATAAAGTTTATACATTGACGAAGAATATGAGGTTGCATTCATCTACATTTTCTTGCGCAGATAAGAACCACAAGCTTTTTTCTGATTGGATAATCGAAGTCGAAGATAGAAAGCTTGGACAAGTGATTGATTGAATAACTAACGTTGAAATTGTGCCTGAATTCTTGATTCTAGACACGAGTCACCCCTCAAGAAGTATATAATGGACTTCACTTATCCAAATCTAATAGAAAATGAAAAATTATTGTAAAATATTGGTTTCAGATGACAATAGAAATCCTTGCAACCATAGCAAAAATATTGTATACCCTGAAGTGTTTTAGGCTATAATATTAAAAATCATGTGAGAAATATATTTTCTTTATTTCGTAAAAAATATTACATTGAACAAGTTTCAGAAATGACTAAAATTTTATTTAACTCTGTGCATGACACGGGTACAAATACTAGTATATACTAAATAAATGGCTCGTTTCTTTTGCCAACAAAATTAATATCATAATATGAAAATAGCACTTATGGTGCTTCGAGCAAAAAAATTAATGATTCTTACCTCATAACCCCTTGACCCCACTTTTGAGTGTGGATATCTAATTATTTTTTCTTTATTTAATTTTGACCAAATTTTTTGTAGTTCTCTCCATCCCAATTTTTTGCTGAAATTCAAATTTTCCAATTTGGATGAAATGTAATCTTTTTTTTAAACGAGTAGAATTTCACGGTACTTCATTCAATAGAATTATTTTTTGAATTATTTTTTGTAATAAATCAAATGAAATTATTATTTATAATTAGCAAGCAACATATTTTTTATTGGGTAAATTTATCTAGCTATATTAATTCAGTATATTTATTTTTTTAATAAAGGTAAGATCTCTGTATACACCTCTTGTATACACCTCTCCAGATCCTATTTTCGTGGGGTTATACTGGGTTGTTATTGTTGTTTCAACATAATTTTTATTTTACTTACGAGTTATTCTATTTTAATTTTAAGGTACACATGCGTAGTAATGTGGGTCGATCTTCTAAAAAATTTCCATGGACTTATATATGAATGGATTTCTTTTCTTTTACAAGATCCAAAACACAATCATTTTAAGTATCTAGATCCATAAGATGAGTATGCACATGAGGACCACTAAATAATTTGTCTTCACGTACTACTAATAATCAAAATTTGTTTGAATAATATAAACACCTTTTATAGGCATACCATCACAAATTTGAGCTGGTGGTTGAATCAGTTCTTTATTATTGTATGATAAGATGTTTTGGTCCACTCATTATATTTGTCATAGTGTCCCGATAGAGTTTATACAGAACGACATGTGATTTGATGTCGGACTCTAATATATATATATATATATATATATATATATATATATATATATATATATATCTCCACACTACAAATACATAATCAGTTTTAGTAAGTATATATTTTTATATGTCAAATATAGAATAATATTAATTATATTTATACACTTTACTACATTTAGACATGTGGTATAAAAACGCATCATGCATGTGTTCATGTATCTAAATAAACACACACATAAGTCATATGTGCGTGTAACATATATCTATATAAACCATTGCGTGTCTATCTAAATTTTGTAAAATACGAGAAAAACAATACCTAAAGTAGGAAAAGGGAATAATATATATCATAGAAATTAAAAATGAGTGGTTTTGGTGGAAGCAATGGATTCACTTTTGTGGCTATACTATGTTGGTTTATGATGATATTTATACTATCGGGTGAGTCTACAATAATTAGTATCATATCATCATTATATTTTATTTTAGAATTTAGAATAAATTCTATAATTGATTCTTTATAATAAGAAAATTTTTCTTATTTAGTCACCTATTATCAAATATTAGTATGATGGTCTTTCTTTTATGAGTATGTTTCCCCATATTGTCTTCCTAATGTACATTCATAGTCATTACTGTTGTGTTATCCATCTAAATCATATCAGAATATGTCACCAAACATAATGTTAATATTAAATTACATTTTAGTCCTCAAATTAACATCATATAACAAAAGATAAAAAAATGACTGTTTTTGAAAAGACTACGGTGGTAATACTTGATAATAAAAGACTAAATATGAAAAAGTGAAAAACCCTTTGCTATTGATATTTATTATATTATGCCTAATAATTTTGTGATTTTGAAATATCTATATTGAAAGGTCCAGAAATGATACTGGTGAATGGGGAAGCAAACGATAATAATAATAAAAATGTGTTTTATGGACCGGTGGAGCCGTACTGTTTGCGACCAACGAAACCACATTGTCTCACAGATAAGGAGTGCGAAGTGGGATGTGCGAAGGTCGGCCAAGGCGGAGGGAGATGCATTTCCTTTGTTAGCCCCAAGGGTCCCTTCATTTGTTGTTGTATATGATATAACATATTGAGTATTTCAAATCCATCCTCCTATAATTATAAGTATTTCTCATTAATAAAATACGATATGTGTGATTGTGGTTTGTGATTGAGCTCAAGATAAAATGTTCTTTTTCATAATCATGTTGTACTTTCAAATTTTGATTTCAAAGTCAAAATCAATTTGTGGGTGCAATTGAAAGAGGTGAGGAGTACATGTTTAGGTCAAGGCAGGGTGGGAGGGTTAGGAGGTAGGAACTGTCAATTTTATGAACGGGACACCGGAACACCCCCGAGTCATCCCATGACATTGATATTGGTTCTGAATGTCATGGGAACCGGCCTCTTAAAATAAAAAGTTTGATGTGTAGATAGATGGACCCAGAACGGGCTTTACACTAAACAATTGTCTATTTGTATGGACGGCCCAGCTCAGATCAAATCAAGTAGGCTAAAAAATCCACCCACATCCACATGTCTAATAAAATGAAAAAATTTCGTTGATGCTGGCATCTAGTGTCAACTGATGATACTTGCTTATTTGAAACTTTTTTAGTGCTTTAAATGAAAAATTGATGATTTTTACTTCCCTTCACTCGCTTCCTAAACTCCCACCACACTCCAACCCCGGGATGCCCCTTCACTCACACCTTAGGTTTCTCTTTTACTTCTTCCAAATGCGTGACTATTAGGCTCGACGGTATACATACTTTGTATACTTTTTGTAATGCATCATCTCTGTCCTCCACATCAGTATCACATCAAATTCTTCTAATTTCATACTTATTTTACTATAAGTGAGGGTACACATACACTAATTTTCCAACTTAGTACACATATTCTAAACAAAAAACCATTAAAAGAAAATAAAAATAGCTACAATATTCTAAACTACAATAATTTTAAATATATAATTTCTTTAATAGCTACAATAATTTTTTTAAAATGCAAATTGTAAGTCTTTAATTAACAAAATAACATCACGATAAAATTTTGTTGATTTAAATGAAACTATGATACGTATTACATAAACGAAGAAAAATACCAATCCAGAACGAAAAAAGATTTAAACATAACCGTACTAGAAAGAGAGGTGGAGTAAACTAAAATAATGGTACTAAAAATATACATTTAGGGGGTGTATTCAATTAAGAGTTTATAGAATTTCTTAAGATTTTCAAAATCAGGAGGTATTCAATTTAGATTTTCAAAAATTTTTTAAAATTTTGAGGTATTCAATGTAGATTTTCTCAAATCTTTAAAAATCATGGGGTTTTCAATATAGATTTTAAAAATTCTTAAAAAATCTCTAAGTATTCAATAATCCATGATTTTTAAAACTCCATGGACTTCGTTGGATTCTTTTCCAAAATTTGCCTATCTAAAATCCCTTCTTACAAGGCCAGATTTCTAATTTTCCACTGCAAAAATTGACAATTTTGGCCGAGATGGGAGGCGCTGATTTCTGGAATTTCATCTTCTTGTCTCACCAGTCGGTTTCATCTTCCGTTCTCACCACTTCGCAGATTTATTGTGGCTAATATCTGGAATTTCATCTTCGTGCCTGCAATTTTTAGACCTTCGCCTATTTCTTTTGCTAGGTTTGATTTTTACAACTTCGCCCATTATCATTGATGTTCATAGCTATTGGATTGTTCCAGGCCATTGTTCATTTTCATTCCCAGGTGTATTTGTTCCTTTTATTTCCTTTACAACTTTGTTATGGTGTTGTGAGATTTGGAGAAAGATAGCTTTCTAATGGGGTTGTTCTTCATATTTCGAAGATGAGAAGACGAAGGGTAGGAGCATTATGCAGAAGAGTTCCGCTGGGGTTTGAAGATTCTAAAGAAATTGGAATTCATGAAAATCTTTTAAAATCTTTCTGATAAAATACATTAAAATCTACCTAATTCTGCATAGACTTAAAACAATTTATTGATTTTACAGAATCCATAAATTTTAAACAATCTATTATAATCTTCTAAAATCGTAATTGAATACACCCCCCTTATTTTTTTTAGAGAGAGTTGAGACTTGAGAGAGCACGGTTTAAGAAGTAGGTGTGATTTAAATAGTTAAAAAGGTTTAAAACGGGTAATTATTAATTATAAATGTTAATATTGTTGTTAGAAAAATTAATTATAGACAATATTAATTATGGTAGACTTTGTAGTTTAGTCCATTTATATAATACGGAGTATTTTCCTAGTCCTAGACTCCTAGTTGGAATTATATTCTTTATATATAATTTGCCTTTGTATTTCATTATTTTCTTGAGCAATACAATTATTTCATTATTCAATATCGTATCGGAGCTAAAGTATTTCTTCTCATAAACTTAGTCTCCATTCTTCTACAACTGTGCGCCACCGCCGGTCTTCTTTTTTGACAATCAACGGATCAACCACCACAAATCACGGCATCATCGTCTCTTATGCCTCTCTCTTTCTCTTAAAAATAAACGGTGTGTGTGCCTAACAGTCGCCACAGATCTCGACGAGTGTCGAGCGTGCCTAACAGTCACCGTCCATTATCTCTCTCCCTCTCTGTAAAAAAATCATGTGCGTGATCGAAGAGCTGCAAAGATGCATTTATCTCTGTTTCTTCTAGAGTTCGAAAGTCTGAAAAGCGATAGTGAAGCAAAAGATAGTGAAGTAAAAGGAGAAAAAAGAAACTTCTTGACATCGCTCCAATCGCCAACAGTCTCCGCTGGGAAAAAACTCAGTATATGCACTATCAAGCTTGTCCGTAAGATAAAGGAAATCTGTCTTTCTACTTCTAGCATATTTAGTTATTTACTCATGAAAGCGTTATTTTCCCTGTAATTCGAGGCTCTTGTTTCCAAGCTTTTACTCGTAACACGAGTTCAGCTTGAGGGATGGTGTTACCCAATCTGCCAAATTGCCACATCAACTTATTTTGGTATGTACCAAATTAAGTTTACTAAGTTCATATCGTGCATCCTTATGCATTGCAAAATATCTACACATTTGGAGGGGCTAAAAAGGGATCTAGTGTGGGGGCACATGGGTCATGCTGGGGTGGGGTACTATATGGGGGATTTAAGAATGAGTTTAGGGGTAGAAATAATCAAAAGATGTTTTGTCTCAAAATAAACATTTTCATTTTTCGTCCAAAAGATGTCTTATTGAATTGGTTCATTTTCATGATACAAAAATCAATAAAAAATTTTCTATGTTTTTTTAAAGCTCATTTCTCATTTTCTATTTATTAATTAGTTTTATATTGTTTCGATTAAAATAAAAGAATAAAGATTAGAAAAGAAAAAAAAGAAAAATATATGAAAAAATACTTTTATAGAATAAGGAAAACTAAGTCATGCAGGCAATATTTTGCGTATTTGTCCAAAAATTTAATTAATATATAATTAACTATATAATAAAAAACGCTACTCAATATTCTTTAGGTCCTCACATATTCAAAAAGATAAAAAAATTTAGATAAAAAACAAAAATATTTAATTTGACAAATGAAGTATATGCCAAAATTTTTATTTGAATCGAAAACATTTTTAATTTTTTAAAAATATATGTTTGAAAAACAATTTTTCATTATTTCACATAAAAATATTTCTCTTTTCTTAATGAAATAAAATAAAAATAAAAAAAAGAAAAAGGAGAGGGGGTGTTGGCGGCCATTTCCAAACCCATAGGGGGTAGCGCAGCTATTCTTCTAATATTTGTAAGATATTTTTGTCCAGAAGGGCATCAACATAGCAATATCAGAACCATGAGGGTGTTGGTGTAAACCACCATTTATCTTTTTTAGTTGATTAGTTACACAATTTATTAGTTTGTTAGGAAGATAATTTTTTATTGTTACTTGTTTTTTATTTTCTATATATATGAGTTAATCATGTAATACAAAATTTGAGTTAGTTAATCCACTTAATTCTAACATAGTATCATAGCTGGTTGCTATGGCTCCAAGCAATCACTCCTTATGTTCAATTTTCTGTCTCGCACCATTACGCTTCCCAATTCTTCTCTCTATCTTCAATTTCCATCCTAGAGATTTACGTCTACAAAGAAGCTGAATCGTCAAGCAATCATCTCATCACCGACTCATCATATCTCTTGGTAGGTTGCTATGGCGAAGGATAATTCTGCATCTGATGGCCGTAATTCCGCCTGCTCGACGTCGCGATCCGTTGCCGCCGCTGAGATTTCCTTCTCCGGCGGATCCTCATCACCGAGCTACGGTTGCAATCCGTTTCAATCGCCGTCGTACGACTCAGCCGACTACTCAAGGAAGGATTTCTCCTCGATCTTCGATCGCGATTCTCGATCTCCATCTGAGACCTCGATCAATGAAGCCGAAGCAATTCCGACTGAACGCCGGCTTTTCCAGGCCAATTTCGTCCTCGAGTACCAGGAGCTGTACAATCGCTACGCTCTCTGTCTCGCTAACCTCCACGAATCTCTGGAGGAGGACAATTCACTCCGTCGGGAGAACGAGGCTCTTCATCTGGCCAACGTCGATTTGGCCAACCGCCTGAGTCTCCTCCCTCAGCCAGCAATCCAGAATTGCCTCCTCTCCTATTTCAGTCACCTCGGTATAGGTGCTCGGGCCGCTCCTGTCCGCGGCGGCGCTCTCGTCGCGGAACCAAAACCTCCAAACGTCAGGCCACCGCTGAGAGCCACAGAGCAACACCGGCCAGAGAGAAGTGATCAAGAGCTAGAGCAAGTCCAGCTCCCAAAGAGCATTTCTGTTCGCTCCCGTGGCTACCAGAAACTTAAGCCGTCGCTGTCCACTAATTTTCTGTTGATAATTCATCAATGGATGTCAATTCGAGTGGAGAAAACTTCAATTTGATGCCATCTCGGTCTATTGATCTCTCCAAATCAGGTTTCATCACAGATTGAATAGAATTCAGAACATATTCTTCATTTGAGTTTGCCATCTCCACTCCATTTTCATCACAGTTGATCCATATTCATCCTCTATTCATTGTGTTACTTCTCAAATTGAATATCCAAATTCAATTTCATTTTCATCCTCATGATTGAGATGTTTAGTTCAATCATTTTCCTTCACTTCTGAAATTCAGAAGTTTCATCATTATTCAATTTCACTCAATCGGTTTGATTGAGTTTCACTCGTATCGTTTTGATCGAGTTTCACTCGAATCGTTTTGATCGAGTTTCACTCTCATCATCATCATCATCATCCGGTTTTCGGTTGATTTCATCAATTGTTTTTGTCAATTGATTTCATTTCATCATTTGATGTTTTCGTTTGAGTTCATCAATTGATTTTTCATCTCATCTTCATCATCGGTTGTCTATGGTTTCCTTCTCTGTTTGTTCGGGGAACCATGGCTGCCATCACTAGCACATTGCTGTTTTTTTATCACCTCTCATCTTCCTATTTCATCTCTGAACCTGGGAGTGTTGTCTACAATCAAAAGCATTATTTTCCTATTCAACAGAGAGTTGTGCCTCTCAGTTTCATAATCAAGGGCCTTCAGATTTTGAGTTGTGCCTCCACGGCTCCACTGTTCTGCAGCTTGTCTCTAGCAAGTCCAAGTTCAAAGATCTCAAAGTTGACTCTCTTCACCACTGATATCATGATGGGGCGCTTGAGGTGTTTGGCATAACTTTGGAAGAGAATGGAGCTAAGTCTACATGTTGGTTTAGGATGCTGCAAGTTGTTTATGCACGATCAAGACTCAAGAGGATTTCATACACAATGCAGCACAAAGGATTTTTTTTTCAGTTGCAAGTTGAAGTTGTTCCCACCTTCAACTTGAGGGGGGGTGTTGGTGTAAACCACCATTTATCTTGTTTAGTTGATTAGTTACACAATTTGTTAGTTTGTTAGGAAGATAATTTTTGGTTGTTACTTGTTTTTCATTTTCTATATATAGGAGTTAATCATGTAATACAAAATTTGAGCTAGTTAATACAATGTGATCCTTTCATTTCCAACAGAGGGCAACGATACAATTTTTATAAAATAAAAATTCCTGGTGTTTGAAATAAAAAATTTAAAGTATACTTCATTTGTCTCAAATTAAATATTTTCATTTTTCTAAAAAAGTTCTTATTTTTTAAAATTGGTTGGAACCAAAAGAATACAAAGTAAAGTCTTTTTATTAATATTTATTTAATCATATATTCATAATATTTTTTATTGAATCGATGCGTAACAAATTTTCTTCATAGCTTATTTTTCCTATTCTACAAAAGTATTTTTTTCATATACTTTTTTTCCTTTTCAATTTATTTTATATGGAGCATTATTTTTCTTTTATTTTAATTTTGATTTAAATAAAAGAAAATTAAAAAAAAAGTTTTAAAATTATTAGGAGAAAAATAGTTAAGAACTAGAAAATGTGAAATAAGCTTCAAGGTAAAAAAAGAGAAAATTTTTCATTGATTTTTGTTTCATGAAATTGAACCAATAAGAATCTCTTTTGGACAAAATAAAATCATTTAATTTGAGATAAATGAAGTGTTTGTTAATTATTTTTATTTTAATTATTTTTTATTTCAAACGGAATTTTTATTTTTAAATCATTAAGTAGTATAAAGATAGTTTTAAAAGAGAAATTTAAAACATTTATGAACAAGTTTTAAAAATGATCTTAAAAAGTATTGAGGAAATAGAAGAAAAAAGAAAAACAATAAAGAGAAAAAAAGGAGAGGGGGTGTTGGTGCACATTTCTAAAATCATAAGAAGAAGCGATGTTACTCTTTTAATATTTGAAGTGTATTTTAGTATAAACGGGCATTAACGTAGGAATATTAAAACCATAGGGAGCAACGTTGTAAGTTTTGAAACCATAAAAAATATCAGTACATATTTAACAAACCACATGAGATACTAGTGCAATAAACTCTTTTATGGAGTATAAACTTTTGATATCTGGCCTACTTATCAATTACGAAGTGCTTCATGTTTCAATTCGTATTTACGCATTCATTTGAAATTATTTGAATACTCTCTCCGTCCCACTGTTTTTGTCCAATTTTCCTTTTCGGGACGTCCCACTGTTTTTGTCCACTTTCCTCTTTTAGTATAACTCAAATGTATTAATTCTCCATTTTACCCTCCACTTAAATTCTTTACTCTTTAATACGGAGCATTCCCAATTCTGTATACACCCATTAAGCACTCATTATCTCCCTTCCCCACTAGCAATCAATAAATTTTTATTCACTCCCCCGCCTTTAATCTTCCATATCTCTATCTAGATCTGTTAAGACGAAGACTGAGAACTTGCGAAGGATAGCTCTATGATGATAGTTTCCCTCAATTCCCAATTAGCGTTCTCGATCAATTTCTTCACACCCGGCACCATCTTCTTTACCCAAAATTGAACAAACTAAAAGGAGAGTAAAAATTAAAACAAAAAATTAAAAAAAAAACCTAACGATTATACAAAAATTGGAGGAAGGAATGGAGTTCCGAGCGACGGAGAGAGAGAGAGAGAAATGGATTGAGATGTAGAATGAGTGGCTCGTAGTGAGCCAGCGGAAGCTCAGAGTCGATTTAGATTTGCAATACTAAATTCCAGATCTAAAAAGAAAGGGTATTTTCGTACTTCTCCTCCCTAATTTCACCCTCCTTGGTTCATGTGCCAAAAAGAAAGTTGACTTAAACACCGGGACGGAGGGAGTATTTTTTTAAAGAGCCAAAAGCTAAATTATGTACTATCAAGTATCAACTAACTACTCGTATATAATAATGCACTCAAAAAAACAAACTAATAGAGTACTTTATATATTATGTTCAGTATTTATTACGAAGCAGTATATTAGATATAAATTAAAAAAAATTTACTTAAATAGAATTAAAACATAATGACTTTTCCAATATAGAACCATATGTTTTTATTTCCCAATGTAGTACTTTTGATCATTATCAATTAGTTATTATTCAAGTAAATGTCTATCATTAGTAGACATTACTCCTCCCACTAGACATTATTAAATCCTATTTAGGGAATAAAAAAAATTTAAGTCCTATTTTGAAAAATGACTTATGAATATATTAATTTTCTTTTGAATTTTAATAAATATTTATATGTTTATTTGTATTCATTTTTTTCTTAAAAGAAGAATGATGGATACTACGAATCGAATCATTGATTTACAACCCTTGTGATTTAAGATTGAAGACCCACGCAGGCTTCGGCGGCCGTTGGAAGGATGTCTTCGGACGACCTTGTCAGTTATGGGCGGCGGCTGATGTCAGATCGATGGAGATTGCTAGGATGACCTCGATCGGCGGCGACGTCGCCCAACAGCGGCGGAGCAGGGATGAATTCCGTCCTGGAACAGCTCATGGGCAGCAGCGGCTGCTAGCACCGATTCCAACCTGGACGAGCAGACCTGTTGTTGGCTTTGATCTGGACCGGCGAACTGATAAAGAGTACCCAGGTTTGGCTCCGATACCAGTTTAGTGCTCCGTATAAATAGACAATCACATCGGAAATGGACATTTGACCTAGTTTCCTAACAATGTGTTAGTATTTAGCAACTCCCACCCGGGAAAAAACTTTATTAAACAGATGTATCCAGAATTTTTGTCTCTCATACTGATTAGATAATGTGAAGAACAGCATACAGATACAGACTATATATAGGGTAGGGAATAGGAACAATCCTAATCTTATAGGAGTATCTATAGATAACTAAATACAAAAGATACACCTAATCTTAATCAATGTCCTACGATTCAAGACATTATCTAACACAACTAATGATAAATTACACGAAGAGGGCGTAGTAATAGAACATCCATGTACAATCAGTAACGCGGAGAGTAGTTACATAATAGTTGCAATAGAAAATGTCAAAAGGAAAACTAAAAATAATTCTAATCTTTCTCCCATGCTTGGCAACTCTGCTTTGCTAGAGCCCATTGTGTTTGCTTCTTTAGCTATACCTGAGAATTATAGAAAATTTTACCAAAACATGAAAAGAAAGAGTTGTTAGGAATTCGTCTTATATAGGGACATTAGGACTTTGTGGACGGATTCGGAGAGAAGGAAACTCACAGTTTGATGGCTTCCATCCCAGAATTGGTTCTTCACGATCAAACACAAGGTGATAGCCCATCATGAAATTCTCTGGAGAAAAGATTATCGTATAAGAAATTAGCATGAAATCAGAGGTTTTTAAGACAAAGCTAAACATCCAATTTTCCAGTAGTATGGAGTACGATTTATAAATTACATGGGTGTTGAAGTTGTGGCAATCAACATCAACAATTACTAATTACTAACATATGTAGGTGTCTGTTTGTTTTGAAAAGTTTTAATCAGATTCCAAGTTGATTCTTGAGTTACTTACGCCCTATAGTGTTAACGGAAAGATTATTGTTTTGATGAATGCCCAAGCAGTGGACCAGTTCGTTCGTCTGGATGGAGTACAAAGAATGTTAGTATTTTTATTATAAAAACAGGTGAAAAAAAGTAAGAATTTGGCTTACCTGTGAAAATGCTGTGACGGTGGGAATTCTAACATGATACTCGGCCCCTCCTTTCATCTTTAGTTTCAAAGAAGGAGCCCAATTTGTGGTATCATTTCTGTTTTAAAGAAGTAGAATAAATAAGCTTTCCATTTTACACAATGTCAATGTAATTAGATGAGAGCACATTTCTCAACTATCTATTCACCTTACACTATAGCAATATTCAAAAGAATCTTTATTCATAAGCATAACGCGTGGTTCTTTAACACGGGAATTAAACTGCAAAGGTATTGAAAATGCATTAGTTCTCAAATTTATATAGAAATTTACATTCTCAAAAATGTGCAGGCAGCGTTTAACTCACATTTTCTGTTATAAATGCATATGCATGTGCATTTAAATATGTATAGGTGGTACCAGAGTCGACCATAGCTACGAAGTCAACATCGGTTACAACATTTCCCACAGCTATTTGTTGTACCATTATGTTGTAACCCCCGCTGCATTGGGCAAAACAGAAAAATCATTAAAGTTTTAAAACATTATACTCCGTAGTTCTTAAGTCACCAAACAGATTGTTAAATAATATACTTGTCTAGCGTAGTATGTAGAGGTGTTTTCATTTGGTCCTTGGTACCCTTGTCTCCAAATGCTATCCTGCCTCTTCCATCAGGGGCAAAGCATAATGAGAATGCATTGTGCACCAACCCTTTGGACGCTAAAATGCGAGGCACATCCAATGGTAGATCGTACGCTACGCCAAGTCCAAGTAATCCATTGATTGCACCACCATACAAATTAGCACCTGTTTCAACTACTCCACACCTAAGGCGTAAAAAAGAGAATTTGATTGGTCACATCACTCATTAGCATTTATACAAATGAAAGGTTTGACATTTATATTTGTATTCAAAAGTGATACGCACCCGAATATAACTGGTGCGTCAATTGCATGGTGTCCATTGTCATAAGTTTCCAAGCGCAATACATCTGTAACTAGATACCCCTTAGTCATAGTGTCATATGATTCATATGTGACTTCATAGGGGCATGCCGTGCGAGCTTCAGATGTGCATTGCATCTTAGGCCAACACTGTGGACTGTCACAAGAAACATTTGCGCTTGTGGATGATGACTCAGGTGTGTAAGAATGGAGATTTCTTACCTGTTTCAAGGGTAAAGATATAAAAGATTAAAAGGTTAGCATCTCTATATACTCTGTATGTTCTAAGAATATTTTCTCTTTTAGGTACGAGAAACCTTCACGGCACAAACATCATTTTTGGAGAAGGGTATCAAAGAAATTGCAATTCCAAAAGAAGGAGATAGGGTTG